CGGAAAGAAAACAAGTTGTGCAGAACCAACGGCAAGGCTTTTTCGAATTGTTTCACAATACGACCTTGCACATCGAGACGGAACCCCTCCTAGCCCTCGTGTCTAACCTGATACAAAGAACATTAAGCCAATATATACAAAAAACCCAAAGATATCAAAGAAGGGCTCGTGACGTGTGAAAAAAGCACAAAGCAATACAGCGACTAGTCGAGGCAGATATTCAAAGTGAGCAAAAAATAAGATTTTTGTCAATTTTTTTTTGAAAATTAGGTTTAAAATACTGCTGAAGTATTTCAAGGACATCCCTTAGTGGTTTAGTGGGTATTCCACTAAAGATACTGATCACGTTAACTCTCGTTTTTGAAATGAATAGCTAGGAAAATAAGAGTTAGAAAACGTTGCTTTTGCCCAGTTGTATGGTGTTGTTCAGTCTAATCCTTCAAAACTACTGATTTCAAATACGACAATTTATACTTCAAGCAACTTTAGTGGAATATGCAGGCCAAGTAATTAAGACTTCTGGATTTACAGTCCTTGGAACATTTCACGGCCACTTCTAAATAAATTATCTAACGTCTCCTTATCCAGTGAAACAAAAAGGAGCATATGCTTCCAACACATTAGCGAATCGTGGGCCTCTAAGAGGCATTTCCATAGAAACACAGGTAAAATTCTGCTCAGCTGCAATATGTCTCTATTTAAACATTTGCAAGTAACGTAGTGACGTTCATTAATATCACAGAATGCAGCATTTAGTTCATTAGATGCCCAGTACAGCTCGGAGTCTAATGATGTGAGCAATGTATTTGGAAGCATTCCTGTGTATTCTTGTGTGTGTGTGTGTGGGGCTTCCTCCCTATTTTCAGGGGGGAGAGGGGGAATGAATGTAAGCCTGTCAAGGAACTTGCATACGGATATCCACTGATATCCCTGGGAACATGAGTTCTGTGCATACACTGAAGTACCCTGGCCCAGAAAGGACAGTTGAATCAGGATAAAGGTTTTTTTTTGAAGGATGGCCATTTTGGATTTAATCTGACCCACTGTTTGTATGCACAAGGAGATACTTCCTAAATTTTTCTAGAAGGGAAGGATCTCATAGGCTTGTAAGATTCTTTCAAGTTCATATGAAGCAGGTGGCATACAATGCCAACCGCTTGTGCAAATAAATCGGTTCCCCTCCCTGCCTTCCAGACAGGTAAGGATTTAGCTTTTAGATCGTTGGCACAAACATCCAGAGGTACGGTAAGGGCCACAAGCAACTTTAGTAGCAAAAGTGCATGGTTTTCCAAGGTAACGGACCCTTTAATTGTTTTAATATTTAGTTTCCCCCAAAACAGGGACATGAAAACGTCTACTGCTAAAGCTGAACCAAGATCTTTTTTGCAAGTTACCAAATGAATCCTAAGGACTTTAGGATTCTTTAGGATACCTTAGGATACTTTGATTTGGAGCTGCGGGTTACAAAAATCCTTACTGTATATAAGACTTGGATTCAAAAATATGCAAACAAGCTACCGCCCCTATTAACTGCACGTTGTATCACTGCCAAAGGAAGTTTCTCCCCAGATTTGCAAACAGGCACTAAACCTGAATTTAACTAATTCTTGGCAGAGGTTTGAAATTAAGTTTCTGAGGCAAGCTGTCTACAGGCAAAGGAATATTTCGATATCAGACTGAACCAAGTACTTAGACCAGGTTTCTGCCTGTACATGGCTAGGCAAGGACCCAAAGACAACTTGAAGCAGGCCTCAGGGCTGAGCGTGCCTGTTGAGAGCCCGTTTGGTGTCGTAGTCAGGAGCGCAGATTCTAATCTGGGAGAACGGGGTTTGATTCCCCCACTCCTCCACATGCAGCTGCTGGTGTGACCTTGGGTCAGTCACAAGTTCTCTCAGAGCTGTTCTCTCAGGAGCAGTCCTCGAAAGAGCTCTCTCAGCCCCACCTACCTCACTGGGTGTCTGTTGTGGGGAGGGGAAGGGAAAGGAGATTGTAATCCACTCTAAGACTCCTTCAGGTAGTGAAGGATGGGGTAGAGAGAGAAGGAGAGAGAGAGAAGAGATAGGATTTATACCCCGCCCTTCACTCAGAGTCTGAGAGCGATGTACAAGTTCCTTTCCCTTCCCCACAACAGACACCCTGTGAGGCAGGCGGGGCTGAGAGAGCTCTTGACAGAAACTGCTCTTTTTTCAAGAACAGCTCATATCAGAACTATGGTTTGCCCAAGGTCATCCAGCAGGTGCAAGTGGAGGAGTGGGGAATCAAACCCGGTTCTCCCAGATTAGAGTCCGCGCACTTAACCACGACACCAAACTGGTATAAATCCAATCTCTTCTTCTTCTTCTCCTCCCCAGGCTCCACTTCCAAAACTCCAGGAATTTCCCAGCTTGGAGTTGGCAACCCTAGAGTTTCAGGGGGAAATGCCGTCTGAAAGACTAATGGGCTAGGAAAGGAAAATTAGGTCTCCTGCATTGGGTCCCAGACCCCAAATCATTTAAATTAAGTAGTCAACAACAGGTGGCTTCAGATCCTCATTTTTATGCATTTTAATTGATCTATTTCTGCTCATGTAAACTATTGAAAATCTCTTGCCGAACTCCCTTTTCAGTCAGATATTTCGAGCCCCTCTCGACATCCTGCTTCAGTGAAATCCTTCACGGCGCTGGCCGGCCCATTCTATTTACGATGAGCAGCGATTCTAAAATAAAAATTATATGCACGGGGAGGGGGCAGAGACTGAAAGTGTGGAAAGAAAATCCAAAGACTTCAAAAGACAGGCATAACCTAGAGAACTGTAAGCACACGGATCCACAACCGAGGCCTCTAGATACAAAAGTACAAAAGTTCTATAGAAAATGATAGTAAGAAGTACGAAGCATCACACCTGTGTACGTGACCCGATTTACGGCAAGGGCCGAATCAGAAAAGACAGCTGAAGAGGATCTGTCGTATCTCTAAAAAGAACATTCAAAGCAGCTATGGGCCGAACCCAGTTGGGAGCAGGGCTATTTCAGCCTATCCTCAACGACGTTTTCCTCTATTTTGTTATTTTCTCTGGCGGGGTTTGTGTGTGTGTCTATGCACCCCCTTTGGAGGCTGGGGGGAGAGAGGGTGCCGCATTTCCCCACCAGAACTTTCCCAACTCAATTTACCCTGTTATTGGTTTTGGATTTGTTTAAAAAAAGAGCCACGGGGCAGCCAATCACGGACCCCCCCCCCCAGCATCTCATCTAACTGGGCTCTAAGTACAACTCGCAGAACGCAGAAGATCAACAATGTTAAGTCACTGAGAACTCTCAAGTGTGTGTGAGATACCACAAGTGACTCATCATACTTACAATGAATACAAATAGGGTGTCGACCACCCAGTAATCTGTAAGTGATTACACACAGACATCTTTCTGGACGGATCTTGCTTAACTGCAGCACAGTAGAGGGTTCTTTCAACTGGGTCCAAACTTCCAGTCTTTCTCTTGAGTCCCCAAAAAACCGAGGCGAAGCCAGAAGATGAGCAGGAAAGCAAGAAGCAGTTCTTGCCTGGTTGGGGGGCACAGCCCTTCGTTCAGTTGGGGGTGGGGGAGGAAGGTTTTGAAGTGGAGCCAGGCAATTCAGGAGCACACGGGGCAGTCCCTGGCTCAGACAGGGACCTTTACAAGGACAACCACACATTGTCGCCAGAACCATCCCACTTCCGAGGAAGCAGGTCAGGGCACGACGCTGAGGAGTCTGTTCTGCCCTTCGGAAACTGCTCAGCGCCGGAAACATTTGGCAAAGTGCATTCCTATTGCTACAGCACTTTGACAGCAGACAATCTGAGGCAGAATTCTCCTCATATTTAGAAGGGCTGGCGGCTTCTTCTGCCAGCCACTGGCAAAAAGCCCAGTGCAACAATAAGAAGAGAATCCTCGTCGAAGCTGAGAGTAATCCAGTTAGCAACACAGCTCACATTTGTCCTCGTAGGTAAAAGCAGTACCACATTTCTGGCTGGAAATTAGATCTCGGGGTCAGGGATGCAAGGTTTGCCTTCAGGACTCGTCCGAGAGCTGAACGGGCTTCAGTTCTGGACGCGAAACGATTCTGAGCTCCACAAAACTTTCAGCCTAAAATGCTCCGCTTAAGACACAGATTCCAGCTACAAAGTGCTTAATGGTTCGTACGCATCTATAAGCAAGTTAATGTTCTTTAAGCAAGCTCACAGTTGAATTCTGCACAAAGGGTCATTGGTTTGTGTTTGAATCCGTTCTCCATCCAAGGAAACTCTAGTTTCTGCTAAACGCAAGTCAGAGTGAGCCGAGGCACTTGAGGCAGGGACGATAAAACTAGGACAAAGGCAGGACAACACCTCCGCGGTCGCTAGGTCGAGAGGGCTGAAAAGCCTCCTGTACCGCAACTGGAGGCGGGAAGGTGCCACTCTGGAAGAGCAAAGCCCCGGCATCGGGGCAACAGACACACTACAAATAAGTGGTATTTACAGCTGTATACAGGTAGATATAACCCAGCCTTGCTTGGATTACAAAATGATTGCTGGCTTTTATGACGGTGGTATGCGAAAGGGACAGTCCTTAACGCTGGATATAATGCCCCACACATTAAGTTACGAGGTCCCAGAGAATGTTGCTACTTAGTGTACGATCCGTAGTGAGTTGACACCGGGATTTCTGTCTTGAAGGCAGATTCTTTGGGAACTTCTTTGTACACAGAGATAAGAGACTTGCTTCTTCGACGTGCTGTTGTCGGTCCATGCACTCAAGAGACCTAACGGGGACTGTGTTCTTTTTCATTTTATTTTACGTCCTGCCTTTCTTCCTAATAGGCACCCAAAGCAGCTTACGTCATTCTCGTCTTACCCTCACGGTGACAACTCTGCAAGGTAGGCTCGGCTGAGCGTGTGTGACCGGCCCGAGGTTTTAGATTTTTTTTCTGCTGGGGCAAAGCGGGGTTTCATGATTCATCTGTCTCACGGGTTGCACCTCTGCTTTTGCAGAACGAGACCGCTGAAGAGGAGGAAGAGATTACACCGATCTCTCTGTCTGTCTGATGTGTGTCTCAACTGGGAGGGAGGCGTGGGATCTACAGACAGGCGAGATTACTTGCTTGGCATGGGATTTCATTGCCCTTAAAGGAAAAAAGTTTGTATTCTGGACGTGCTCCTGGACACTCTGTTATCGACCGTAACCAGAAGGGTTTTTTCAACGTTATTCAAATGTTGACATCCACGTAAGCTGCACAAGTATGTATTTTGGGTATTGACTGATACAGGTATCAGAAAATTTGCGTGGACACTGGATTCCCAATTCAAGTAATTATGCATCTTCATTTCTAAATGCTTCGGTGCATACCAAAGTGAATCTCTGTGTACAGGAACCTGAGAATCTGCCCTGGGTGTCTGCATTTACCAGCATTCAGAGTGACGGTGCAAAGACCATTCCCGTCCACTGGCACACTGACTCAATGATATGACACTGAACACCCCCTGGGTCACCACCGTTTTCGATGATCCAGCAAATGTGCTGACTCTGATATAAGCTCTTGATTTGTCACCGACAACCGTCCAGAGGCAGCGCTATGGCTCGGTATACCTCTCAGGAAGGACAAAGCTATAACAGCCGCCTACTGCGAGATAAGAACGTTTCGATTGTCTCGTTGGCTAGTCAACTTTGGGACACCGTTTGCTTCCCGTCTGCAGCCGACTGCACCTGCTTTGTCTCAGAACAGAAGAACGTTTGAGATACAAAGTTCACAAACATTTTTGTTAAAAAACACTGAAAAACCCCACACGGCAACTCTCTCAACACCAACAAAACCAGTTACCAAGACCTCACCAGCGTCGGGTTAAGAAACTAACCGCACCTACTGAAACCCGGAGTTCCACAGAACCCTTTAAAAGACTGAAATGCACCATGAAGTGCCAAACGCGACGTTTCCCAAAGCAAAGGATTGCCACCAGAAAGAATTCCCCATCCTGCGTCACCCCAAAATTGTCCTCGCTGCTGCCGTTGATGGCAGGTGCCCTTCGTGTCGCCCTCGCGCCAATCTGAGGATCGCCATCTCCTTCCAACCCGTCTGCCTTTCGTCGGAGGGGTCGAGCACTTTGGTTAACTGACGTTTCATACGATACAGCATAACGCATGAAGAGAGAGGGGAATGATCACAAAGTGTGATACTCTGTATAAATGCATCGGTGCGAAGGCCACGACAGCGACAGATAAGGGAAGGGGAACGTACACGGCGATCTTCAACAGTTTACTGCGGGCGAGAAGAGGGGGGGAAAGAAAAAGAAAACACAGTCCTGTTATTAGAGCTGTCAAGAGCAGAGGTCGATTCGGGGGGGATCGCGGGGGAACGCAGTTCCCCCGGGTGAGGTGCGAGGGGCGGGGCACACAACGAAGCCCCGCCCCCTGCTTCCGGCTGCCCCGCTTCCAGCCCTCATTCAGCCAGGAGGAGGCAGGAGAAGAGGGAGGGTAAGTTGCTTCCTCCCCGCCTCTCCCCACCCCTGCCTGCCTGGGGCCAGGGAGGACCTTGGCGGGGCTTTCACGCTCTCCCGCCGGCCTTGTAGGTCCACCGCCGGGCCCCTGATGTCAGGGGGTGTGGCATATGCTAATGAGTTATGCTAATGAGTTCCTCTAGCTCTTTTTGGAGAACAAGACCCCTGGTCGAGAGTATGACATTAATGAAAAGCAATGTAAGTATTCTTGGGGGGGGGGGCTACCGTGTGAAGCATCCAGTCCTTTTTCTGTTTTAGAAACCGAATCGAACAGGTTGTACGAGGGAAACCTCTAGCGTACAAGAGACAGGTGCTTAGAACTGTATCACTCTACCCTCTAGCATGTGTTCTCCATCAATTCTAAAAAGCGGGAGCAACAAGTGGTTAAGTGCGCAGACTCTAATCTGGGAGAACAAGAACAGGGCAATTACATACAGAGATGATTTGCCATTGCCTACCTCTGCATAGCAACCCTGGACTTCCTTGGTGGTCTCACTTGGTCAGGCCGCACCTGGAGTCCTGCGTGCAGTTCTGGAGGCCTCACTTCAAAAAGGATGTGGGCAAAATCGAGAGGGTGCAGAAGAGAGCGCCGAGGATGATCAGGGGTCTGGAGACTGAGCCCTGCGAGGAGACGCTGAGGGCCTTGGGAATGTTCAGTTTGGAGAAGAGGAGACTGAGGGGGGACGTGATGGCTCTCTTTAAAGATATTTGAATATTTGAAAGGCTGTCATTGGGAGGAGGGCAAGGGGCTGTTTCTGTTGGCAGCAGAGGAGAGGACCCGAAGCAACGGGTTTAAATTACATGCAGAAAGGTATTGGCTGGATAGTAGGAAAAACTTTTTCACAGTCAGAGTGGTTCAGAGGTGGAATCAGCTGCCTAGGGAGGTGGTTGGCTCCCCTTCACTGACAGCTTTCAAGAAGAGGCTGGAGGAATATTTGTTTAGGCTGGTACTGCATTGGGCAGGGGGTTGGACTAGATGGTCTCAATGGCCCCTTCTTACTCTGTGATTCTACTAACCAGGGCTGACCCTGCCTAGCTTCTGAGACCTGATGAGGCCGGGCTAACCTGGGCCATCCAGGTCAGGGGACATATGCTTACGCCTCCAAAAAACCAAAGTACTTTTCTAGCGGTGTTTTCCCTCCCTAACTTTGTGAGCATTCATAACACACTCCAAATCCTTCAGCCAGGCATTTAATGTATTCTTCCAACTGCAGATACCGGAATACCGTATCTTTGACCATCACTTATCTAATCCAAATCCAGCACTAGCCATTGGGCTGCTTGACACTGCATTTGTATCACAAATCACATTTGACTAAATCATAGAGAAGAACAAAATAAAGCATCATGCACAGAGCAGGTCTTCGAAGAAGAAACTGGATTTATACCCCATGGCCCTTCACTACCCAAAGGAGTCTCAGAGCGGCTTACAAACTCCTTTCCCTGCCCCTCCTCACAACAGACACCCTGAGAGGTAGGCAGGGCTGAGAGAGCTCTGACAGAAATGGCTCTTTTTCAAGAACAGCTGTGCCAGAACTACGGCTTGCCCAAGGTCATCCAGCAGCTGCAAGTGGAGGAGTGGGGAATCAAACCCAGTTCTCCCAGGTTAGAGTCCACGCACTTAACCACTACACCAAACTGGCTCCTTGAACAGGACAAGTGAACGCTGCAAGTACTGAACTAAATTACCTTGATTTAATCTTTGTAACATTTGCATTCATGATTATCCCCACCACGGTTACGAGGATAAAAGAAACCGTTCTACATGGATCGGGATCAAGTTTAATGTGGTACCTGTGGACAGAAAAGGAAATGTAAAAGGTTTCTGTAGTAAACAGTGCTTGTTTGCAAAATCCATTATCGATAAGAGGCTACCATGCTTAATTAAAACAGAGTGCGGACAAGAGACCGGCGTCCACTCACAGAAGGAAAAGTGCTTCTGCCGATATGAGGAGAGAACCGGGAGAGCAGCACAGTGGAACAAAAGATGGACTATCAGAGGCCACTCTAAGCCCGCCGTGAAATGTTTTTCCGCCAACGGAGCCACTTAGCCAATATTCAAATGGTAACCTGAATCTAGTTCACTGTTGGGAACCACTCAGAGCCCCAGAGAAGCAGGACGCAATGTTTTAATTAATGAACAAGCCTATCTGACGGCAAGTTAAGGGCCTGATGTCCAGATTTCTACAAGTCAAATCCTACTGCACGGTCTACTGTACGTTCAGCCCTGTTGCTTGTACTTATTCTGTGCAATCCGTCTTGAGTCCCAGTAAGAAAAGTGGACTATAAATACATACATAAATCCACGGGCCACACGGCATTGCCTACAGACCCAACCCTTGCCCGGTGGCTTCATGTGAAACTACAAAATGTATACGATGAAACAAGATGTCATGTTATTGTCATGAATGGGTGTAGCAAGGAGGCGAAGAGTGTGTGTCCCCCCCCCAAGACCTCCGTATATAGGGAGAGAGGTGGCTTCCCCTCTCGCTGTAGAGTGCTTCTCTATGGCACCCATAATCGGAGGCAACCCTTTCAACTTTTCGTTTTAGGTACAGAAGAAGATGCAGGGAAATAGTATTATGCGAGTTAGAATGAACTGTAGGTTTTGAGTGGGATTATGAGTATTTATAAGTTATGGGGAAGTTGGATGGGATTTATAAATGGGTGAGATAGGGGCATAGGAAAAGAGGAGGGACTAGAAGAGTGAAAAAAAAATGGTTGTTGTAATAGTAACCTCAGATGGATTTTTCCCCTTTGTTTCACGATTGTTAAAAATGGAAAATGAGGATATCGATAAGATGAATAATGAATTTATGTTTGTGTTTTGACTGATATGCTCAATAAAAAATGTAAATTAAAAAAAATGGTTTGTGGATTTTTAAACGTTTATGTAGCTTTCTTTAAAATAGTGTTGAGCTAGTCTGGTTTAGCAGCTACAGCAGTTGTCCCCAACCATTTTGAGCTTCCGGGCACATTTGGAATTTTGACAGGGCACAGTGTGCGCAGCCACAAAATGGCTGCCACAGGAGGCAGAGCCAGCCACAAAATGGCTGCCGCAGCTTCGCTTCAGTCACAAAGTGTCGATCCCTGTGCTGTGGGGGCAGCTGGTGCCAAAGCGACATTTTAAAAAAAATCTGCACAGCCAATCAAATCTCCAAGGGCCAATCAGGAGCCTTGCTGGGCAAAGGCCCTCCCTGGCCCCGCCCACTTCCTAAAAACACTTGGGGGGCGGCAGACAAAGGTATCAGTGGGCAGGGCACCATGCTGGGCACAAGCACCACGTCGGGGACCCCTCCGTTAAAGCCCCTTAGAGCCCCCCACTGAGGAGAAAAGAAAGGTATAAGTAATGTAAATGAAATTAAATAAACAAAACCAGGAAGCAGCAGATTTCAAAGCAAACAATGACGGATTTCTTTTTTTAAAAAAAAAACTTTAAAAATTGGGAACAGTTACCTGAGATTTTTTAACCAGTAAATTAACGATGGACAACTGAGCAGGACAATCCACGTGAGCAGGTTGAGGATTGTGACATGCATCTTGAGGCTATCGGCAGTTCTGTCGGCGGCAGCGTTGCGGGCGGGCGGTTCCGCGGCTTCTGAAACGCCGTCCGCCAATCCACAGCTCTTCCCCGTTTCTTTATGGGAATTCTCAGACGTCCGCTCCGAGTGCTTGAGGGGCACAGAGATGTAAATAAACATAGTTAACCGATGTCCTCCTCACCAAAGACTGAGAATAGTTATGGCCAGAAAAAAATTGTTTAGAGGCTTTTAAAAAATGTTGGCTTTTGTGTCATGCTGTGGGCAGGATATCCTCTGTCCACTGCTTCACCCTCCTCTGTTGGTAACATCCTGATGCTAATTCTGCCAGAACTGCAGGTCCTTATGAAGACCCGCAAGGGTGTTTCCCCCGTGGGGACAGGCTTCTGCACTTTCCTACTGCTGCAATGCAGGTTTCCACACTGCAGGTTTCCACGGCTCAGTTCCCTGGCAGCAGCCATCCCTTCAACATGCTACCAGAGCCTTTTTGTGTGTTTTTTAAGCCAGTGAAATACCATTTCAAACATTCTACCAGCCTATGTAACAGCTCTTGTTCTTTAAAAAAAAAATGTCTCGAGCTCCTTTTGTTGTAGAGATATAATGGGAAAGGCATCTCTCTACAACAAAAAGTTCCAGAGACTTGATGTTTAAAAAAAACAAAACAAGAGGGGGGAGAGCGAGAGAGCGAGAGAGCGAGAGAAGATTTATACCCCATCCTTCACTCGGAGTCTCAGTGCGGCTTACAGTCTCCTTTCCCTTCTCCTCCCCACAACAGACACCCGGTGAGGTAGGCGGGGCTGAGAGAGCTCTCTCGAGAACTGCCCTCGAGAGAACAGCTCTGAAAGAACTTGTGACTGACCCAAGGTCACACCAGCAGCCGCATGTGGAGGAGCAGGAAATCAAACCCGGTTCTCCCAGCTTAGAGTCCCTCAGCGTACACTGATGAGGCTTGAAATAGTGGCAACAGATGGAGAAGGACAAGACGGGTCGGTCGTGTCAGTCTGTCTGCAGCAGTAGAAAAGAGCAAGAATCCGGAAGCACCTGAAAGACTAACAGAATTTGCGGCAGAGGAGGAGCTTTCCTGAGCCACTGCTCGTGAAAAGGTGCTACTGGACTCTTGCTCTCTTCTGCAGCTGGAGAAGAAAAATCTAGGGGTTTATGGGGGTATAGTTCATTGAGAAGATGAAGCAGTCCGTGCGGCTAACCACTACACCAAACCGGCTCTCAGACAGACCGTCACAACGTAATAATGATCTCCAATTGCCAATTACAAAAACAAAACACAGTGGCAGGAAGAGGAAAGGGCCATCGAAGCAGGGAAAATCCGAACAGCTTTCCACGCTTTGCTGCGGTCTTTGCAACAGCTTTGGGAAAGAACAGAGGCAAGCCGTGGAACCCCCAAGAGGTGTAAAATGCACCACAGGAACATAAACAAACCACATCCAGAGAGTGTCAAACCCGGAGCATGCGGAAGCAGTCATGGGCTGCCAGTATGTTCATCCTCCAGGGAGACTTTCGTTTTATTGAAAGCATTTTAACACTGCCTTCTACCCAGCCAGGGTCCCCAAGGCAACTAGTAAACTGGAAAACAGGCTGGCACTCAGCGCTTAGGATGAAATGAAATACAATTTCTCCACTGTATTTAACAATGTTATTCTATAATAGCTAATGACACATCCACACTGTTACATATTCTGTCTTTCATATGCACCCCAAAATACAGGGGAAAAAGTGGGTTCAAAAGTACAGGAAAAAAGTGGGTTGACGAAACTCCTCGGAGTTGATTTTCGTTTCGTTCACAACTTCATTCAAACATACTGAAGCACCGTGGTCGTCTCTCTTGAAAATCTACTATTCATAGTGTCTTCACATGATATTCCATGCCATGATTTCAAATACTAGAATGTATCCTCATCCATTTTACTGGAGAACCTTATCCCGAGCATTTATATTACAGGGTTCCCAAGGCGGCACACATAAAAACATTAGAACTAAAAATATCATTTAGAACTATAAAATCAAGTAACGTAATTAAAACTCACACGCGCAACACCAGAACCCGGGAGGAGGCCAACTAACCTTTTAGAGAAAGAGAGGGGGACCTGTAACACGGTAAGAGGGGACTCACTAAAGTGACACACACACACACCCCCGGGTGACATAAAGCTCAGATCGGTTAAATGGGAAATCAGAGGGGCATACTCGGATTCGAGAGTCCAGCAGCACCTAAAAGACTAACAAAATTTGTGGCAGGGTAGGAGCTTTTGTGAGTCAGAAAGTCAGCAGTGACTCACAAAAGCTCCTCCCCTGACACAAATTTTGTTACGTCTTTAAGGTGCTGCTGGACTCTTGCTCTTTTCTACGGCTTCAGGCAGACTAACACGGCTACCCATCTTGATCAAATTCAATGGAAAGCAGGTGTCATGACCAATGATCCCTCTAAGCTGTGGAGTCTTGTGAGCAAAAATTCTACTTTGTGAGCTACCGGCATTAAAGTTGTGAGTGAGCGATTTGGCTGCTGCATCAATTAGTTTGCTCTGGAGCCATCCTCCCTGAGCTAAGACAAAAATGTGTGAGCCAGAGGCTAAAAAACTGTGAGCTAGCTCACACTAACTCAGCTTAGAGGGAACAGTGGTCATGACCTGGGCTGTGCCACCAGAGGCATTTGATTTCTTTTTACCCACTTACTGTTATTCTGCACCTTGTTGTTTGACCTCCTATAAAATACACCTTTTCCTTGTTCACTCTGCCTGGTCCTCACGGCTGTTATTCAGCCAAAAGGGAGGTCTGAAGGTCTTGGGAGTGCTCTGGGCCTTCTCAAGGGAACCTCAATCCAGAGTGGTGGCAGCGTCAGGTGACACCCCACCTGAGCCGTGACAGTAGGAAATCCCCTGCATATTCTTTTCTCCTCCAGGAACAGTGGTACCTAGGGTTGCCAAGTATTACCTTTCGCTGGAGCGGGGGACTCCCGGCTCTTTCCTGGAGAGAGAGCGCGTGCCGCAACCACGTGATCACGCTGGGGGCGGGGCCACGACCATCCGAGGGAAAACCATAGAGTTTTCCCTCAGATGACTGTGGCCCCGCACCCACCATGCCCGGCGTGGTCGCGTCACTTCCAGGTGACGTGCATGTCACATACTTTGGGGGTGGGGTTTCCCCCGGGGCCTGATCCGCCACCGGCGGGGACTTGGCAAGCCTAGTGGTACCCCTGAAAGGGCTTCAGCAGACTCTTTGAGGAAATGGGATTCCAGCCGGCCCACAAGGTTGCAGCGATAACATTCTGGTGCCCACTGGCCAAAACAAATCTCTCTCTTAACTTAAAACACGCATCTCCTGAAACTCCAAAAACAATGTGGGCAAGATAAATCTAGAATTATCTTGTAACAAATATTAAAGCAGGCATGTAAAGAACTTACCATATTAAGGACACTTAGTTCTGTTCTTAAACTGGAATGTAGCTTGATAACCTGTAAAAAGACGCACACGCATGTCTGCTTGATCTCTCCCCTCCTCCCCAGAAACACGATAAAGACTGAAGTATTATTTCAGACTGTGAGGGAAACGCCACAGAAGGATCGCTAGGGTTGCCAGGCAGTGCTACCTCTAGGCTGTGGAGTCTTGTGAGCAAAAATTCTACTTGGTGAGAAAGCATTAAAGTGGTGAGTGAGCGATTTGGCGACTGCATAAATTAGTTTGTTCTGGAGCCCTCCTTCCTGAGCTGAGACAAAAATCTGTGAGCTGGAGGCTAAAAAACTGTGAGCTCGCTCACACTGACTCAGCTTAGAGGGAACTCTGGTTGCCAGGTCCCGTCGTGTCCCCCCCCCCGGCCACACCGTTTCCCCCCCCCCCCCCCCCCGGCCACTGGCAGGAAATGGGGTGGTGGTGGTGGCATTTCCAGATCCAGTTTGGGAAACTTCTGAGGATGGAGCCTGGGGAGGACAGGAACTTCAGTGGGGCACAGTGCCATACAGTCCACCCTCCAAAGCAGCCATTTTATCCAGGGGAACTGATCTCTGTAGTCTGGAGATGGCCTGTAATTCCGGGGGATCCCCAGGTCCCCCCTGGAGGCTGGCATCCCTAGAATCACAGCATACAAGCAGTGATACAACTGCTTGTTTCACTTAACAATGTGTCAGTATTAGAAATGTGCAGACCTTTAATGGGGGAAAAAACCCCAAAAATGTGGGGGGTAGAGGGAATGGACAAGAAGGAATGGGAAAATCTGAAATCTGAGGAGGAAATGGGGGGGTGAGAAATGTATCAAGTAACTTATATTTTAGAATGATGAGTACGATGTTTCCTAAATGTATTTTTAAAAAAACATGCTGGTGCAAAGAGCTCTGAAACTCAAAACTTAAATCTAGGAATCAATGTGTCAATTTATGCAAACCACACGCTGTTTCAATTCATGCAAATTGTCACGAGTTTAGAAAAGGCTACAGGTCAAAGTTAAGAAGGAAGAGCTACGGATCCTTCAGGTGCATATTCTAATTAAAGAAACAAACTTGAGTCCAGCTGTTTTTTCAAGGATATATTATTTACTGGGATGAAACGGGATATAAAAATCAGGCAGGTTCAGGTTAATTAATTTTGTCCGCCGTTCCTATGGACACCAACAATTAATCCTGTGTGTTATTGTCTAGAAAAGTATTCAGGGTAATTTAGCATATTAATGATAGAACTTTTCAGACAATGAACATTTAATAAGGTAAAGGCAAATAATAGAACAATGTTAGCAATGACAAAAATTAAACCAACAGAAAAGTGAGGGCCCCAGGAAGGCCAACACTGCAGTGGCAATAAAAAAGCCGATTAAAGCACAAAGGAAAGCCGGGGGGAAAATAACTCATTTGGGGTTTTGCCCTTTCCAGAGGCCCTCTCAAATAGTCTAGAGATCTTACTGGTCTTGCTTCTAATAAGCTTGCTTCAAATCAAATCATAGCTACATTAGCAACCAGATTACTGGTTCGTGCAAATAGCCAGGGACACGTCGTGCCTGAAACTCAGCAGTGATCTATGTGATGAGTCAATGACCTTGGGAAAATGCAGCTGAATAGCCCCGGAAGGGCTTGTAAGCACCTCAGTCGTACTTTGGATCCTAGCTAAAATTTCTGCAAGTGCTCAATGTTTCATTTATATGAACGCATGTGTGTTTTAGAATACGTTCATTTGCACTCTTTGCTTCATTCCCCATAATATACAGCAGGGAATTTCACATTACCCTTTTTATGCCGTTTTTTAAAAAAAAATTATTTTTGTTTGTTTAGTCTGTTACATTGAATATTTATAGTTATTTACATTTTCTCCCCTTTCCTCCCTCCCTCCCTCTCTTTTAGTCATAGTCCTTTCCCCCCAGCCAAGGACACAGAGTCTTAATTTATTTAAACTTCCACTGAATGTCCTTCCTTCTTTCTTTCAGCATCCAGTCTAGGTAGATCTTCCATCTGGTCTTGATTTCAGTGGATTTTTCTTCCCATGTTATTCCCTAAAGGCTTTATGCTGTTTTTAAGCCGTTATTGTACCGTCTTGGAGTAAACCGGTACAGGGCTGCCATTTCACACAGCCTTTCCCCTACCGGTAAGGAGCCGTCTCTGAAGTGGTTTGGCATTTCAGGCTGCACCGCGTTGTTTTCTCACCCTTTTTCGCTATTGCACTGTTGTGGTGTGGTGCTATAGCGGTAGAGCACTCTAAAACGAACGTTTTTTTTTAAAAAAGGACAGAGATCGCCTGCGTGGGTGAAAAAGGGTGGGAAAACAAAGCAGTGCAGGAGGAAGCGCTACGGGGCATTTTACACAGCACCCCATAGCGCTTCGGAAACAGTATAGAAAAGTGAAGACCGCTTGGAAGCCGTTTGCAGGTAAAACGGTTCAGAAACTCTTCCCTAACGGGACAGAAGTGTTTCTGTCTGAAAGTGAAAATATATTCCGGTAGGGAACTGTTACTAAAACGGTTCTGTCTGAAATGCCAGACCAGAAACCGTTAGGGAACAGTTCCTGAACTGGAATGTATCAGCTGTCTGAAATCCCCCATTGAACATGGGCTTGGTTTTGACCAAGTTTCTTGGTATGTAGAGGCTACGTACGATCGCAGGTACACCTGCCACCAATTCGACCGGATGTCACAAGGAAATGTGATTTTATATGAGGCCCACAGGTCATAAAATGCTAAACCTGAAGGCCTGAACTGCATGCCAGGGGTGGGTCCCATCTCAGTATTCCAGAACCAGCAAGAAACTCCCCTGCTTCCTTCTTTCCAAGGTAGCCCATGCATCTTCACAAATTGCTGAGCTCAGAGGACGGGAGATCCTGAGGAATGACAGGAAGGTGGACTTCAACAGCGAAGGGAATCGGCAGAAATTGCTAGTTTAGTCGGTGCCCAATCCGCAGTCTGGAACTGACCACAGGACCGGGCGGCATATGTTGGAGCCAGTGTGGGGCAGGGGTTAGGACTAGCATCTGGGAGACCGGGGTTGAATCCCCAATCGTGCCGTGGAAGATCACTGGGTGACCCTGAGACCGTCACACTCTCCCAGCTGAACCTACCTCACAGGGCTGATGTGAGGATAAAATGGAGGATAGCAGGACCATGTGAGCTGGCTCTGGGCCCCCCTATGGAGAGGCAGGTAAAAACGAACAGAATAAGTATTTTATGCCCCACGCTAGCATAACCCTACATGTGCATGACAGATGGAACCAGAGGTAGAAGAGGCATGATCTATTTCCCCTATTCTGCAAAGCATTTAGTAACAGAGAAGAACGGCTAACAGAGTTGCCAGGTCCCCCTTGGCCATCGGTTGGGGTGGGGGGTGGGGTTTCCAGATCCCGGTTGGGAAACTCCTGGAGATTTGGGGGTGGAGCCTGGGGAGGACAGGGACCTCAGTGGGCACAATGCCACGGAGCCGACCTTCCAAAGCGTCCATATTCTCCAAGGGAACTGATACAGTTGCCAGGCAGTGTTCCCTCTAAGCTGAGTTAGTGTGAGCTAGCTCACAGTTCCTTAGTCTCCGGCTCACACATTTTTGTCTTCGCTCAGGAAGGATGAACATAACATAAGAACATAAGAGACGCCAATGTTGGATCAGGCCAGTGGCCCATCCAGTCCAACACTCTGTGTCACACAGTGGCCAAAAATACCAGGTGCCATCAGGAGGTCCAGCAGTGGGGCCAGGACACTAGGAGCCCCTCTCACTGTTGCCCCCCTCCAAGCACCAAGAAGACAGAGCATCACTTGCCCCAGAGTCCCTCTCTATACCTTGTGGCTAATAACCACTGATGGACCTCTGCTCCATAAGCTTAATTAATTCCCTTTTGAAGCCATCCATGCTTGTAGCCGCCACCACTTCCTGTGGCAGTGAATGGCTCCAGAACAAACTAATTACTGCAGCAGCCAAGCCGCTCGCTCACAACTTTAATGCCAGTAGCTCACAAAGTAGAATTTTTGCCCACAGGACTTGACTAATTGGAGGGAGCATTGTTGCTAGGTATCCCCCCCCCCAGCCACCGGTGAGAGAATGGGGGGGGGGCAGGCGTAAAGTTGCCAGATCCAGTTTGGGAAACTCCTGGAGACTTGGGAGTGGAGCCCGGGGAGGACGGGGGCCTCAGTGGGGTACAATGCCACAGAGTCCACCCTCCAAGGCAGACATTTTCTCCAGGGGAGCTGATCTCTGTAGAAAGGAGAGGAGCAGTAATTCCGGGGGTTCCCCACGCCCCACCTGGAGGCTGGCAGCCTTAACGGCTAACCTTGCCTGTGGTTTAAAAAACCCCACAATATTTATTCAAGCATTGATTCACTATAAGCAATTTGTCGGGTAAATACCTTGAAGATATAATGAAAGTACGTAATTACTATGGCCAACGCCCCGCATGTGGTCCAACCGAGGAAAATCATGAAAGCAGCGACACACAACCTTCTTCGCGTAATCAGCTTGTCATCTGCAGGAGATCCAGAAAATCTGGCAAATGTGAAATCACAACAAGTACAAAAAAAAGAAGAAGTAGTTTTAAGTTCCTGAAAAAATAAAACATTGGCCACACTGCCAAGCGTAACAGTTTGATCCATTGATATCAACCAGATCCGGTCTACCCGCAGAGTTTAGAACCATAACCCGTGTTTTGAGGAATGAGCAAACTATGGCTTAGAAGTGTGGGGTGCTTTTCTTGTGGATGCTCAGGACTTAGTATGTTGACATGTACAGCTGCAGTGAATTCAGAGTTCATACTGAGCGACAGCTGATACAAACTACGGTTAGCAAACCCATTTCAAGCTATTCCCCCACCCCTTTGCTTTGCTGGCTGCAAATTATGATTTTGTTGATTCAAACATCACACCACGCCGTAGCAAAGCTTCCTTAGCTATGGTTTGGTGTGATGGATGAACTGAGGCACTGAACAGTTTATATAAGGCCAGGGGGAAGACATTGGCTCCTTCCACACGCACTGAATAATGCATTGGCGATGCACTTTAGTGACTAGTTACAAGTGGATTTTCCTTTTCGCGGCTGGAAAATCCAGTTGTAAATGATCACTAGAGCGCATTATCCCACTGTGTGTGAGAAAGCAGCCACTGTGTCAGAACAGGTTATCTGTTTACATTAATAGTCAATATAGATATATAATATGTCATTTAAAATTAATCACCAAAGTATTTCTCTTTTTCATTTTTAAAAAAAAACACACTTTGGTAATACTGACATTTTTTCTTATTATGTAAATACTCAATTAACACATGGTGTCATGTAACATATTCAAAGATCGCAATATATACAAATATTTGGTTTCTAAATAATACCAGTGAAAATTTAAAAAGAACATGTTATCTGTAAACTGAATTGTCATAACACTTTCCCTTCCTTTTTTTTTTTTTTGGGGGGGGGGGTTTTGGGGGGGGGGGGTTCCCACCCAATGTTCCCTCTAAGCTGTGGAGTCTTGTGAGCAAAAATTCTACTTTGTGAGCTACTGGCACTAAAGTTGTGAGTGAGCAATTTGGCTGCTACATACATTAGTTTGCTCTGGAACCATCCTTCCTGAGCTAAGAGGAAAATGTGTGAGCTGGAAGCTAAAAAACTGTCAGCTAGCTCACAGTAACTCAGCTTAGAGGGAACACTGGTTCCCACGCATTTTTTATAAGACTATAACTTAGATACCACATCCTGGCTTAATGAACTGGTATCCCCTGCACACGGGAATCCGCTCTCACTCGTCAAGATATGATACTTCCATGCCATAAAACATTAATCGGTTTTTACAAAATCACAGTAGTGCAGAAAGAATGGGTTTATTTTTCCCTATAAAAGACTGCTTCCTGGACAGGGACCAAGAAAAGGGACTAGTATTTTCTGGCTTTACTGGATCAATGTAAAGCAGAATTACATTTATATAAAATCAGTAAGCTGGGCAGAGGTATTTTATTCTCAGAGGTATCCTGTTCTCTGTAGACAATGACTGCCCTGACCTGGACAATTCAGGCTAGCCCGATCTCATCAGACCTTGGAAGCTAAGCGGGGTCGGCCCTGGTTGGTGTTTGGGTGGGAGACCATCATGGTATACCAAGGTTGCTATGCAGAGGCGGGCAAGGGCAAACCACCCTCTGTTCGTCTCTTCCCTTCACAGTCCTACGCCGTCACCATAAGTCACTTGGCGTAATACTGTGTGGGTGTAGAAACTTGCTATCGTTTTCTCCAGGACTAAAATGGAAAGGTATATCAACAGGCCACCCTGATCCTTCAAAAGACACCTAATTAAGAATTATTAGGGCTCAATAAAACCAATTTAGTCTAAACAGTCTATAGTGAGTGAATGGAGGCCTAGGGCAGATGGTTACGCTTTTTCGGTGCTATAAATGGCTGACCCCTTGAGGAAATTAGAAGGGGTTTTTTATGACATGTTCTAAACTTGCTTAAAATGACTCACTTTGATAAGGGACTGGAGATAAGTTTAGGCAGCCCGGGAATAAAGTTCCAGGCTTTGAGTGAATCCCAGCTGGGCACCAAAACCATTTCAGCTCAAGGGAAAGTAAAGGTAAAGGTTTCCCTTGCTCAAAAGCCAGTCGAATCCAACTCTAGGGGGCGGTGCTCATCTCTGTTTCCAAGCCGAAGAGCCAGCGCTGTCCGAAGATGTTTCCATGGTCATGTGGCTGGCGTGACTAGACGCCGAGGCGCACGGAACGCACTGCCACAGGAAGTGGTGGCGGCTACAAGCAGAGACGGCTTCAAGAGGGAATTGGATAGACATCGGGAGCAGAGGTCCATCAGTGGCTATTAGCCAGAAGGTATAGATAGGGACTCTCAGTCTGGGGCAAGGGATGCTCTGTATTCTTGGTGCTTGGGGAGGGGGGCAACAGTGGGAGGGCTTCTAGTGTCCTGGCCCCACTGCTGGACCTCCTGGTGGCACCTGGTATTTCTGGCCACTGTGTAACACAGAGTGTTGGGCTGGATGGGCCTTTGGCCTGATCCAACATTGGCGTCTCTTATGTTCTTATGTTAACACCTGCTGTGGAAAAAAATAAAAATCCTAATATCCAGCCGGTAGCTTTCTGCCTCTAATTTAAACCCCATCCTTGCGAGTCCTCTCCTCTGCTGCCAACAGGAACAGCTCCCTGCCCTCCTCTCAGGGACAGCCCTTCAAAGACTTCAAGAGAGCCATCCTGTCCCCTCTCAACCTCCTCTGCTCCAGACTCGATGGCCCTTTCCATCATCATTTCCTCCGCTGATCATTTTATCGACACACATTTCATAGAACGAGGCCACTCGCTACGCTTTTACCTGGTTAGAGCTACCCACAAGGAGGACAAGAGCTTTATGGACGAATCGGAGAGAACGCCACCCCAGTAGGCAATGCCACTTCCAAACATGAAGAGGATCAGGGATACGAAAGGAAACCACACATTCTGCTTGCTCAGGGGAACGACGTCCGCCTCCGGCAAGGATAACGCATCCCAGAGTCCTTTGAACCAGTTAAGCCTGGGGGGGGGGGGAGGTAGAATATTTATTTATTTGATTTATAACCTGCACCGTCACCTCAACAGAGGATTCGGGGCGGTTTACAACGTACACAACATAGCATTAAAACTTAAAATAGACAGTAAAACTAAGAAGTGCAAACAAACACAACCAAACATACTCTAATGAAAATTCCACAGGCCATTAGCTCTGGAACGAATCTGGACAGACAGACAGCTCACCCCACTCTCTTCATTAAATGCTGCACAAAACAAGGCAGCCTTGCATGTCCGACAGAACAGGTCCCACAGGGCAGGGGCCACCATGGAGAAGCCCTTGCCCTAGTGCAGTGATGGCAAACCTTTTAGAGACCGCGTGCCCAAACTGCGGCCCAAAACCCACTTATTTATCGCAAAGTGCCAACACGGCAATTTGACCTGAATACTGAGGTTTTACTTTAGAAAAAACAACTCATACATTAACTTAAGACGATCCGAACAAAGTAAGGAAAGCAATCCCAAATGCTTTCATTTACTTAAAATTATTTGGCAGAGAATTCGACCCTTTAATGATGGTCTGGGCCTGGCTGGGGCGATGGCACGCGTGCCCACAGAGAGGGCTCTGAGTGCCGCCTCTGGCACCCGTGCCACAGGTTCGCCACCACTGCCCTAGTGGAAGGCAAAATGGGCTATTCATCATGACGGAGCTCTTCCACCAGGCTTTCAACTAGGAGCCGCTGCCCCCAACCACCAATGAGCAGGCCCGTAGTACTAACATCTGGCCGCCACCCCTGTGCTCTGGAAGATAATTGAGCGAAAATTGTCTGGTTGTCTGGTAATTTCAGCACGCCATCTTATGCATTCAATGTATTAGCCGTAGCACTTTATGAGGCTTTGCTTTATTTTATTTTATTGAATTTTAAATTGTTTTTATGTGAATGTACGGTCACCTATAGACCAATTATGTAAGCTGCCCTGAGCCCGCTGCGGGGTAGGGCGGGGTATAAATTTAATAAATAATAATAATGACCAGGCACCTGCAGTAGGCCCTGTGATGAAGACCGAAGGGGGTGGGGTGGGGGGTTCATATCGGGAGAGGTGGTCCCAAAGGTATGAGAATATATGCCTATTACTTTAATTATGAATTGTTGGAAGCAGTGTTCCCTCTAAGCTGAGTTAGTGTGAGCAAGCTCACTGTTTTTTACCCTCTGGCTCACACATTTTTGTCTTAGCTCAGGAAGGATGGCTCCAGAGCAAAGTAATTTATGCAGTAGCCAAATCACTCGCTCACAACTTTAACGCCAGTACCTCACAAAGTAGCATTTTTGCTCACAGGACTCCATAGCTTAGAGGGAGCATTGGTTGGAAGCTTAACAGTAGTAGCTTGAATGTTTTGATATGTATGTCATACAAAACAGCACAAAGAGAAGAAGAAGAAAAGACTGGATTTATACCCCTCCCTTCACTACCCGAAGTAGTGTCAGAGCAACTTACAATCTCCTTCCCTTCCTTTCCCCACAAAAGACACCCTGTGAGGTAGGTGGGGCTGAGAGAGCTCTGAGAGAACTGCTCATGAGAGAACAGCTCTGAAAGAACTTGTGATTGACCCAAGGTCACACCAGCAGCTGCATGTGGAGGAATGGGGAATCAAACTCGGTTCTCCCAGATTAGAGTCCGCGCTCCTAACTGCTAAACCGAACAAAGATGTGGTCATCCTTTTACTCTCCGAAAGATGATGTACGGCAGCGGGATAAATTTTAGAGAGCGGCTTACCCCAACAAGAACTTGAGAAAATTCACGAGAGGTTCGACTTTATAGGGCCGGGATGCTTTTGTAAGGGCCAGGACAAAATCTGAACAGTGGCCTAGAACAGCAAGAAGAAGAGAAGCAGTTTAAAATTGGACGCCTCCAATGCAAACTCAAAGTTTAGTCTAAAAAATTTTTTAAAAACAAATATTCACAGAGCCAGGATACATTTAAAGTTATAAAAAATTTTTTCAGTACTAACACCACTGCTTGTAAGTCTTCTTGCTCCACTCAGACCAAGGGCTGTGAGAAAATTCTAAAAGACACCAGCGTATTTGAGTTTAGACGATGAGTGTCTTTGTGACCAAGTATTCCCGGTTCCATGTACACATTTCAATGAGCTTTCCACTTGGCAAGTCAGACAAAAAAGCCCCACGAAATCAGACTATGAAATCTATTTAAACCTGGGGTGCCCAGAGGTCTCAGTTTTAAAGACACTCTATCCTGCTTTGTAAATATTTTTTTTAAAATATGTTCTAGCACCAGTAAGCTAAGCATGTCCGCTCTGCATCCCAACCATTTAACAGTTTTGTTCCATTGGAGTCCTAGAAGATTCCTGTAAAGTTATAATCACCTTACAGCAGATCTCTAAATTATTCTTTGATTACAATTAATTGTGCCCCCCCCACCCAAATCTGTATCATCAGTAAACCTGTGCTTAAAAAATCTGTTCGTGTAATGTTACCTGTTGAGATTAGGGACTTTAATTGTCTTCCATAGGCAAGAAGAATATTAGAAATAATGTATACAGGAAGGGTGCCACCATGGAACCTTATTACCTACAAAACAAGGATCTTTTATGGGCATGCAAATATCACCCCAAACTTATCACACGAACAACAATTCAGTACTTACATATGGGAAGTGCTTCACAGATATCACTAATTCTCACAACTCTATAAGGCTGTCTTAACAATTCATAGGGCACAGGCTAGATGTACTGGCTTGCTTGCATCTAACAGCAAATTCACGGATGTGCCGAGACTGAGATTTCCAACCTGTAACTCGGCCCATGATCTTTAACTAATCCACAAGAGGCTGCCGTAATTCTTTTGTTAGAAGCAGCCCATTTGCGTCTTCAGGCTTATATACTGGAGTTGGAAGATGGCAGTATTCATAAAGCACGCACAGCCACGTGAGTGTTGCTCAACTCTGAAGCTGCATACACCCACAAGGAACATTGAAAATGCCACATGGGGTGGAGAAGCGGCAGTGTTTCCGGTCTATAAACTGAGAATCTGCTTGACACAGCACGATCGTCAGCTTTCAGACTGCGATGAAACGTGGCCAATGGCTTACAATGGCAAAACATTCAGAATTAAAACATTCAGCCATTCATTTAAATCAGGTGCACACCAGCTGTGATCCACCAAGCTGAACAAAACACACCAAACACGTTATCATAACCTGCTCGAAACCAGAACCCACAACCTTTCGTTTTACAATCCCAAACAAGAAGCGGGGGGTGGGGGGTGTTTCATCAATTGTCTTGTGGGCTGCTTACAGCTCGCATTATTAAAATTTGTGTTAGGCCTGGTTTAAAAGAAAGCCAAGATGTCTTTTTCCAGCATAGGGCTTTTCCGCAATGCCATTTTAGGTAAAGGTTTCCCTTGCTTGAAAGCCAGTCGAATCCGACTCTAGGAATGCAGTGCTCATCTCCGTTTCCAAGCCGAAGAGCCAGCGTTGTCCGAAGATGTTTCCGCGGTCATGTGGCCGGCATGACTAGACGTCGAGGCGCACGGAATGCTGTGTTAAATTCCTGTTTCTTTGTGCGTCTGTGCACACACACACACACCGTCTTCACATTCTTTGCTCCCTCTAGTGGTCAATCCAACATAAAACAGGTTTTGGGTTAAATCTACAGGGATTAAACTAGAAATAAACCTATTTATTGTCAAATTGACAACTAGAGGAAGCAAAATACGTGCAGATCGGGGGGGGGGGGAGGAAGAAACAGTATGAATAAAATGACAACGCGGCAAAGCCCATAAACTACTTGGTACAAACCTGCATTGAATTTCATCTGCCATTCTGGTGCTGAATTACCCAGTTTGCAGGTATCTTTTCAGGGCTTTTTTTGGACTTTTATCATCCTGAATAATTTGATGTCACTTGCTAATTTGGCTCATTATCCTGAACTGGCTGCAGAATATCTGAACATCATTTTTAAGTCGCAACGATTACCGGGCATCCCACTGCTTATTTTGAAAGACTGAAACGGCTAGCCATTTAATCCTACTCTCTGTTGCCTCTTTTAAAGACCTGCAGATTCGATCCTACAGCCCTGTTCTGCTAAAGGCAGAGACCTGCAGCACTGGCACATGCCTCTTGCTGGCAGAATGGAACTGCAGGATCCGACCCTGGTTCTCTACCCATGACTGTTATCATCCTTATGAAGAGGAATGCTGTGAAAACCTTTTTTGGGGGGAAAAACCTACGCAATCAACATCTGTCATATCCCACTGTACACATGTATGCTGACACACTCAACGAAGATTCTAAAAGGGTAGCTGCATCTCGCACTGAATGTTTATTAGGTTGCTAGTGAAATCTCCCGGCTTCCAAGTTTTAGAATATAGCCCTGGAGTAACGAAGCGCCACATATTCAACCAACAGGGAAGACGGCAACAAAGAGGCACACGAGAAGTCCCCAACCTTTTTGAGTCTGCGGGCACATACAGGGTGGTGGGGGAAGCTACAAAATGGCTGCTTCAGGAAGTGGAGCCGGCCAGGAAATGGCTACCACGGCTCATCTTCGGAGGAGGAGATTGGATTTATACCCTGCCCTTCACTATCCGAAGGAGTCTCAGAGCAGCTTACAATCCCTTTCCCCTCCCCACAACAGACACCCTGTGAGGTGGGTGGGGCCAATGTTCCCTCTAAGCTGAGTTAGTGTGAGCTAGCTCACAGTTTTTTTAGCCTCTGGCTCACAAATTTTTGCCTTAGCTCAGGAAGGGATGGGCTCCAGAGCAAACTGATTGATGCAGTAGCCAAATCACCTGCTCACAACTTCAATGCCGGTAGCTCACAGAGTAGAATATTTGCTCACAGGACTCCACAGCTTAGAGGGAGCATTGGGCGGGGCTGAGAGAGCTCTTTCGAGAACTGCTCGTGAGAGAATGGCTCTGGAAGAACTTGTGACTGACCCAAGGTCACACCAGCAGCTGCATGCGGAGAAGTGGGGAATCAAACCCGGTTCTCCCGGATTAGAGTCCGTGCTCCTCACCACGACACCAAACTGGCTCTTTGCTTATGGTGGGTAGTTACTGATAACAGCAAAACTAATGAATCCCAGCCAATATTTCTATCTAATGTGAACTTAAAGCTGCAATCTTAAATCCAATTTCCAAAGTAGTATCATCTGTGGTTTCCCCCCAGTCCCATTTCAGCTAAGTCAAATGAACACTTCTGACTGACAATGTTTGGTCTGTCTCTCATTTCTGGGTGGGAAAAGCACCTGGAGATTGTGGAAACATCAGAGCACAAGAGAACTGCACTCTGCTGCCGTCTCCAGGAAGTCGTGCAAATGGCCCACAGGAACGCAGGTGCCCTCTCAAAATAGTCTCCCATTTCCGGGGGGGGGGGGGGGTGAAGCAGTAACTCTTGCATACTCCAGTTAGATCCACTGGCACTGTTGGTGAGGGCAAGGCTAAACACAGCTTAAGAGAGTCACACTTTGACAGAAATGAGGGGCGGGGGGTAGGATCCACAACTGGGAGGGAAGGCAAAAAGAGAACAGAACCACAATTTGGGGTGGGGATGGAGCTCCAAGAGTTCCTTGCCTCAGGTACGACTTTTTTAAAAAATACAGCCACGCATGGAACCGTTCCTAACCGTGAATAGCCTAGATGCAGAATGAGGGGAACTGGGAGGCAGTCGTTTCCCAGGTAGTCTGGGGGCTTCAGGAAACTGCTGGAAATACAGTTGTCCCAAGGGAAGTTCGAAAAGCCAGAGGTGAAATGTAACAGTGCTCAAGTCTGGGCTGTGAGTGCCCCTAACGTAAGAGAGTGCAGTAAGATTCCCAGCAATGCCTCAGAAAATACTGGGACATTTGGGGGGCGGTGCCCAGGGAGGGTGGAGCTAGGTGAGAATGAGGTGTCACTCTAGGCTGCCTCTCCTAGTTTCTCTGATCTACCACAGAGACTAGGGAAAAATCCTAGAGTGCCACTGTGTGGAGGCTGTTTTTTGTCCCACTCCTCGATTCCTCAGGGGCAGGTAAATAAGAGGCAACACGGCAATACAGCCCACTCATTTACGCACTCATGAATAAACCCCAGAAAAGGCTCTTCTGGAAACAACGTAACGGAATGATGTACACAACTGTATTTTCATAGCAGTCGGGAACTGCTGTACTTCTTGAACGGTGTAGACCAGGACATTCTTGGACCCCTCAACATTTTTCAGAATAAAGATAAAATAACCCGAGCCTACTTTGGCTTACTGCAGTAGCCAGGAAATTCTGCTGAAACCTTGGCACAAATAACGAACGTCTGACATTGCCAACCCTGAAAAGTCAAAGTTGTCTTGTAATCAGAAAGAAGAACTTCCTGAATTCTCATTCATCAAGGGAACACCATGATCCAGAACAAGCATACCCATATTACTGTCAGGGAACGGATAGGACAGATCACTTCCAAGGACCTCACTAACAGAAAACAATTTAAAAAGATGTAGGGTTGGAACTCACCTAGAACAGCCAAGGGGGGCAATTGAGGGGGGGGCTGAATCCCCACTCAAACGCTAATCCAGGGGGACGGGGAAACCTCCCCCCAGAATAGCTTGTGAGTCATCAAAAGTCTCCTGTAGGAAAGAGAGATCAGCGAAACTCCCCCCCTACGGAAATTCTCGGTAGGATCCAAGCCATATCAGAGAAATCAGTGAAAATCACCCCCTATGGAAATTCTAGGTAGGATCCAAGCCATATCAATTACGGATCTTGTTATCTTTTTAGTCTAATCGTGATTATGAATAAAACCCGTAACGAACAAAATACTCTTACCTGGCCAAGAACTTGCAGAAAAGAGGTCCTGATGGTTACCTAGTTCAACACACATATTAAAAAAATAATAATGTATTTTTTCAAAGAATATTGCAAATAATATGAGACCAAAAATTTAGCTCAGGTGTATTAAAGGTGAAAGCTCAATTCAGTTGCCGTTCATTTGAAAACTTGGGCTTACTTCGTATTGACAATCCGGAGATGAATAAATATTAAACACTGGAACTGCCGTGTGAAAGCTCAATTCAGTTGCCGTTCATCAATGAAAGTTTTCAAAGTTCTTCACTAATTTGTCAGTAAGATACTCAAAGCATGCACTTTTATTGCAAAGGCAGGGGGAGGGGAGAAAAAGCCTAATATTTTGACAACTTGGGCTTACTTCGTATTGACAATCCGGAGATGAATAAATATTCAACACTGGAACTGCCGTGTCGTTTTCAGGTCGGGCGACGTGCAGTTTTGCAGGGATCTCAGTCGTAGATGGGACCCTACGGTGGTTCCATATTAAAAAAACCCACATATTACTAAGCAGATAACACTCTTCCAATCAAAAACAAATGGAAATCCAGAACATTCTCAAGTGACTTAGAACATATCAAATGCCTATTAATAACAACCGCCTTTTTTTTTTTTAAAGAAAACAGGTTGCTCAACAACCTGGGAACGACCTTTCTCATCTGTCAACATTGCTTATCTAACTAATGAAGACTCGCAGCCCACACTAGAGAAGACATTTAACACCAAAGCTGGCTTACTAATTTTAGAGATTTGCATGATGCACCCCGCCCACCCCCAGAACGCCTCCCAAATCCCCCACTAGAGCTATGGTAACCCTAACTGCATAAACCTTAAAACGCTGCACTTTTCAGTACTGAAGAGACATCAAATAATAAGAAATCCTTACTGGGACAAAGTTAAGGAGTCCTCATGTGACCACGGAATATGAAGTCGGTATACACTAGGTTTTCTTTCTGGAAAAGACAAATAAATGACGTAACGGAACAGGGTTGCTCTAGGCTGGTTACCCATTAGGTAAACTGGAATAACAAAAAAGACTTCGCTACTGCAGCTATTGAAACCAAGCTTTTCAAAATGCATTCATGGAGAAAAGGGAACTCTTTTACCATGCTTTCGCTGTTCTAAGGTTCTCCTGTTTCATCTACGTAACGTGGGGACTGACTGCAAAACCACTTTGTCAACTTGGCTGATTTCCCACTTAATCTTGCACGTGTGGGCAGAGCCTCCTAACTCCTTCCCGGTCCAGTCTTATGCAGCTGATGTTGTTAGGGTACGACGGTTTGTGCTGCAACACCATTAGTTCTTGGCACTTCGTTATGCTTCTCAAGTTGCCAACATCGCTTTTCTTTAAGTAGTCCCATGGACAGATGTTTCAGCACAATTTTGTTTCTAAATTACATTTCTCATAATCCATGTAACACGGTGGATTAAGACAGCATGGTAAAATGTTAAATGCTTGGGATGTGGGAAAACATGTATTCGGTTTTTGCAGGCACAGGAAAGTTGAGAACCATAAGAAAAGTAGAAAAGAGGAAGGTCCAATAGCACCTTAAAGGTAAAGGTTCCTTTGCTCGAAAGCCAGTCGAGTCCGACTCTAGGGTTGCGGTGCTCATCTCCGTTTCAAAGCCGAAAAGCCAGCGCTGTCCGAAGACGTTTCCGTGGTCATGTGGCCGGCATGACTAAACACCAAGGTGCACGGAATGCTGTTACCTTCCACTTCTTCAGATACAGCTAGAATGGGAGTTCACTTGTCCTATTTATTGGAAAGTGGAGTGATTTAATAAGTGAATAAACAGGACAGATGGGCTCCCATTCTAGCTGTATCTGAAAACGGAGCAGTAACTCACGAAAGCTCCTCCCCTGCCACAAATGCTGTTAGTCTTTAAGGTGCTCCTGGACTCTCGCTCTTTTCTACTGCTGCCAACAGACTGACACAACGACCCGTCTTGATAAGCAAAGTCGTCATACAAACAGAGAGAGCAAGAGAAAGTAGATCACTTCCATAATGTAGAACAACAGATGTGTGCCAACTCATGATGGAGCCATATACCCAGTTCAAGTGGTAATTTAAAAGCAATAAGCTTATGTGAGCTAGCAAACTCTCTGCACCTCTAAGCACTGTCCGCATACAAGGATAAGACTATCAATCTCAAGCGGACATGAAATGGAGATTCCAGTTCATATTCCCAAGTTTGTGTGTGGAAGTTACAATAATCAAATGAAGAACTTTGACAGATAAATCTACCCTCAGATGACAGAGCCCGAACCTTAGAGTGAAGCAAAAGCGAACTTGAACCAGCAAAGGGGAAGAGGATGAGGAGAAATGGAAGAACAAGGAATGAACTGATGACCTCTCCCAGCCCAAAACCTTTCGTGTGACCGGGGCCTAAGACTATCAATCTCAAGCAGATATGAAATGGAGATTCCAGTTCATATTCCCAAGTTTGTGTGTGGAAGTTACAATAATCAAATGAAGAACTTTGACACATAAATCTACCCTCAGATGACAGAGCCCGAACCTTAGAGTGAAGCAAAAGCAAACTTGAACCAGCAAAGGGGAAGAGGATGAGGACAAATGGAAGAACAAGGAATGAACTGATAACCTAGTAATGCTCATGAGGAACAAAAGCATTCAGCTTTGTGAGTAGCTGATTCTAATCTATGTGAACAGCAGAAAAATCTCCAAAGAATTAAAAGCAATCAAGGGCCCCGGTCACACGGGCCAGAAAACGCACGCGCGCGGGGGGGGGGAGGCGTGGCTCTTTGCGCCGTCGCAATCTGATGCGCGATTAGGCGATCAGACTTGATGGCGGCACACCGGGGCTTCCACCGTCGGCGCGCGCAGCAAAGAGTACACCGGCGTGATCACACCACGGGAGTCCGGAGGTAGCCTGTGGCAAACCATTTGCTGATAGGTCGAACCTGGTAGCTTTTAACTACGTGGCTTCGGCGGCTTGCTGCGGGTTGGCCACGGGAGTGCTATGCCTCCCAGATATTCTGGTGAGATCGCACCCGGAAAATCCGCCTCAGTATCGTGCCTTCAGCGGGGCAAATGCTCCGTGTGACCGGGGCCAAGGTTCACTTTAAATGCCTTATTGTCTGTGGTAAATGAACAGGTCATTTCACCAAACTAATATATGAATTCAGTGATTGGATTGACATATGTCTGTGTACCACAAGAGTATCAACCCATATACATGCAAATTAAAAACCATTTTACTCAACAAAAGCAGATTTTTTAAAAAGTGTTTTGTAATTACTCTCTGGTGAGCTCTGCATGGCTGTTCCTGTTTGACATGAGGAGGCACTAATGTGTTTTTTGGCGGGAAACAGTCCACCCTCTGTAAAGAGCCACAGTTCTCTCCATGGCAGCGTATACTGATTTTGGGATTAACTGAAGAGGACCTCCCACTCCCACACTGCCCTATCACACCACCAAGAAAAGCTGAGACCAAGGCCAAAGAAATATTTTATTTACTGGCCTGCCATTGCTTGGTGCTATTCACAGTGGGCCACCCCTGAGGTAAATCGTGAGGGAGTTTGAGGTAAACACTCTGCCCCTCCCTGATAACCCCGCCTAGGTTACCCTTGTCTGCCCTCGAGTTACTAAGAAGGAAAACAGAGATTTTTAAACAGGTTTATTTTACTGGGAAGGGAAGGTAAACTATGGATTGTATAAAAAATCAACTTTATACAGATGTAACTTCATGAGGAAGTGAGACAGCGAGATCATGTTTCATCAGATGACAAAAGGAACTTTGACTCGACAGCTTGTACCCTGAAAATTTTATGGGTCTCTAAGGTGCTTCTGCATTTGAATCTTGATTCTTCATGGCTACCCTCTGAAACTATCTTTACAGATTGTGTGTGTGTGTGATTGATTGTTTCAGAATAGAAGAAGAAGAAGAGAAGAGATTGGATTTATACCCCACCCTTCACTCGGAGTCTCAGAGCGGCTTACAAACTCCTTTCCCTTCCCCTCCCCACACTGTGAGGGAGGTGGGGCTGAGAGAGCTCTGACAGAAACGGCTCTTTTTCAAGAACAGCTCTTATCAGAACTACGGCTTGCCCAAGGTCATTCAGCCAGGTGCAAGTGGAGGAGTGGGGAATCAAACCCGGTTCTCCCAGATTAGAGTCCGCGCACTTAACCACTACACCAAACTGGCGTAGAATAGAGAGAGTGCCAGTAACTGCCAGACTACTTTTTGACTGTAAAAGCTGTTGAGTTTTTCCACAGATTTCCTAACCTTTCAGAATTACACTATAGCCTTTTAAGCACAGAACTCAGTCTTCCCTTTCAAATACACCAGAAAGACTACATAGGAGAGCTTTAAATAGGGCTGCCAGGTTCCCCGGGAGTGTGGAGGTTCCCCCGCTAAAAGGGTCCCCAATCCACTGGTCCAGAAAAGGCCGGCGTGGGGAACCCCGTCCCCAAAGTGCCCAGTTTGGGCCAACGTGCCCGGTGCGATGACATCACCCGGAGGTGACGTCATCGGACCAGGCATGTCAATGGCTGGTGCTCTTGCAATCAGCCTGAAAACTCTATGGTACCATAGAGTTTCCAGGCTGATTGCTAGAGCGTCAGCCAGCGACATGCCCAATGTGATGACGTCCCTTCCGGGTGATGTCATCGCAGCGCGCACACGCTAATGTCCCTTGTAGGGACCAACTCTCCTCCGCTATTAGCAGTAAGTGACTTGGCAACCCTAACTTTAAACCAGTGTGGGCCACTCCAGGCCACCACACCACAGAACTGTCTTCCCCTCCAACCTCGGAGCTGCCCTCTGACCCCTCCTCTCTCTGTGTCCTTTGTCCTTCCTATTTTCCACATGGCTTTTTATGGAGTCACACGTCTCTCCAGCAGAAACAATGCCCTCGTACTCCCACACACATGATGCCGGATTAATTGGCCATTTGTGACAGGGAAAATACTCTTTAGATCAGGTTTCTCTCCTTTCAACTGCAACCTGAATGTGAACTGAATCTATCTGAATAAATGCAAGTTTCCCTTTTTGCAATATACTTCTTGGGAGACTGATTTACTGCACTCAGGATCACGCTTCTATGACTGGGCAAAACCCTGCTATTTTAACCAAATATCCCAATAAGCTACAACCAACATTTTGAAATGAATAAAGCAGAAAGAATGGTGGTAACAAAAACAGGACAGGCAAGTGTTTGGGGAATACAGATAAGAAGATATACTTCAGAGCCTTAGAAGTGATTTCAGAAAATATATTTACCTTTGAGTGACTGGCAGTGGCTCTCTACATTAAGTGTAAAAGCTTGGTATATCTAAACAAAACAGAAAACATGCAATCGGTTCCTTGGTGTTCCCAGAAGAATGAGGCCACATTAGGCATTACCAACGCATAAAAGGTATGTATTTCAGAAATCTGTGTTTATACCTGACCAAAGTGTTGGAGCTGAACATTGTGAATAAGGCCAGTTGAATTTAATACAATTTTGCTTGAAGAGAGCCCTGCAGAAATTATTGCCTCGTGTTAGAATTATCGTTAGTAAGGTCTAGTGCAACAGACTACAGGGGAAATAATCCATTTGTTAGAAGACTGATGCTTCATTTTATTTATGTATTTAAAACATTTTTATGCTACCTCTCCACCTGAGCAGGGCCCCCAAGGCAGCACACATAAAAACGTTTAGAATTTGAGAATAATTCAATAAAAAACACACCAACAAACAAGAACCAGGGAGGAGGGGCCAATAAAAGTTATTGGGGGTATGCCAAACATAACAAAAAAGTCTTCACCCACAGGCAAAAGACACCAATACAGGGAGACAGACAAATCATTCTCTAAATTTAATTCATATTCCAGGGGTGTCGAACTCATTTGTTATGACATAAATGAGACCTTGTTGGGCTGGGCCATGTACGTCATAAAATGTAATGCCAGGTAGTGGAGATACAAACTTTATAAAGGACACAAACACAATTAAAGATTTTTTAAACTTTAAGTAAAACATGCTTAAAACACTAGCACTCTTGCAATATTTTGTCTATTAAACAGTCTCTGATAACTGACACCTCTTGCTCTGAGTTACTGCAGCAGCCGAACTGGAAAAGGAAGCAGGAAACGGTCAGGGCCTTGCGGGCCGGATTTCAGCCATCTGAGGGCCTAATCCGGCCCCCGGGCCACGTGTTTGACACCCCTGTCATAGTCAATTAACTTCAGTGATAAAATGATATTTCTTCAATTAGATATGAGTCCAGTAGCAGCTTAGAGACTAACAAGAGTTTCAGAGTGAAAGTTTCTGAGAGTCAAAGCATCTTTTCTCAGATACGAGCAGAGGAGAAATGGAGATCTGACTCCTTTTATCCTCATCACATGGTGTGTGGGCGCTGTTGTAAAGAATATTTGTAAGGTATATTTCTAAGCAGGGTTGCCAGTCCCCACTTGGGGGCGGGGGATCCTCTGGTTTGGAGCCCCTTCCCCGCTTCAGGGCTATCAGAAAGCAGGGGGGACACCAGACCCCCCCCCAAGCCAGAAGCAGGAAGTAAACGCAACATTCCTATGTTACCCGGAAGTGATGTAGGCACATCGGTGATGTCAAGGGGGACACTCTGGTTTTTGGGCAAAACCCCATGATTTGAAGCCAATTTTTTACCATAGTGTTTTGCCCAAAAAACAGAGTGTCACACCCAATGCTCCCTCTAAGCTGTGGAGTCTTGTGAGCAAAAATTCTACTTTGTGAGCTACCGGCATTAAAGTTGTGAGCCAGTAATTTGACTGCTGCATAGATTAGCCTGCTCTGGAGCCATCCTTCCTGAGCTGAGACAAAAATGTGTGAGCTGGGGCTAAAAAACCGTGAGCTAGCTCACACTAACTCAGCTTAGAGGTAACACTGGTCATACCTGACGTCGCCAACATGCCTACCTCACTTCTGGGCGACGTCGGCACGTCGCGTTTATTTCCAGATACGTCACTTTCTGCTCCTGGAATGCTCCTTCCACCTCCCTGCCTGTGGGTCTCACAGACCCGGCAACCCTATTGGTAAGGGATGCACAAAGTGTACTGTAGAGCAGAGTACGTTGTACCTTTGCATCCTTTACCAAGCATTCTTTACAACGCCCCTCCCACCTTCTGACAAGGATAAAAGCAGTCAGATCTCTATTTCTACACTACTGTGTCTGATGAACGGAGCTTGAACTCTCAAAGGCTTACGCCCTGAAACTCTTGCTGGTCTCTAAAGCGCTACTGGCCTCGAATCTAATCTTTTACTGCAGATCAAACAGGGCTACCCTCTGAAGTTATCTTCATGGAAGGCAATTCTACAAAACATAGATGCAAAGGCAGTTTGTGTTGGAAAAACCAACAAATTAAACCTACCAAAAGAAAAGAGATGGGTCACGGGGAGTTCCACCGTTCTGGAGACTTCATCAAAGAACTCACAGTCCACAGTAAACTGCAACAAAGAATATTAAAGCAACTACGTGAGCTTGAACTTCAGTACAAATTAGGGCAATTTAGAGCCAGAGAGCCGGACTCAGCACCAGGAGAGCTGGGTTCGAGAACCAACTTGGCCACAGACTCCCCGAATGAGCAAGTTACAGAAGTGGACACGCTGGGGTTTTGAGAATGGCTGGAAGCTACTTGGGCAGGTAATATGTAGAATCCCTAACCTCCCCTTTGTGGAGCCTGAAGCCCCTGGGTCCTTCAGGGGTACAGCTTTACCCCAGATCCCAGAGAGCACACACAGTCTAGTTAAACCCTAGGCAGTCTCACAGAAAAGGCAAAGCAGCTCTTCTCATTCATTTGTCCCTAAGCGCATACCGTAACAGACCCACCACTGTCACGCATGATGAACTGTTTTATGAACCACTGCTTTTTATGCTTATTTTTACCTTGCTGTTTTATCTGCTGCTAATTTTCTAATTTCCCCCAATCTGGATGGCCCAGGCTAGCCCAGTCTCATCAGGTCTCAGAAGCTAAGCAGGGTCGGCCCTGGTCAGTCCTTGGATGGGAGACCACCACGGAAGTCCAGGGTTGCTACGCAGAGGCAGGCCATGGCAAACCACCTCTGAATGTCCCTTGCCCTGACCTGAATGGCCCAGGCTAGCCCGATCTCATCAGATCTCGGAAGCTAAGCAGGGTCAGCCCTGGTTAGTCCTTGGATGGGAGACCACCACGGAAGTCCAGGGTTGCTACACAGAGACAGACAACGGCAAACCACCTCTGAACATCCCTTGGCTTGCCCTGAATGGCCCAGGCTAGCCCGATCTCATCAGATCTCGGAAGCTAAGCAGTATCGGCCCTTGTCAGTCCTTGCATGGGAGACCACCTTGGAAGTCCAGGGTTGCTACGCAGAGGCAGGCAATGGACAACCACCTCTGAACATCCCTTGCCCTAACCTGAATGGCCCAAGCTAGCCCAATCTCATCAGATCTCGGAAGCTAAGCAGGGTCAGCCCTGGTTAGTCCTTGGATGGGAGACCACCACGGAAGTCCAGGGTTGCTACGCAGAGGCAGGCCATGGCCAACCACCTCTGAACATCCCTTGCCCTAACCTGAATGGCCCAGGCTAGCCCGATCTCATCAGATCTCGGAAGCTAAGCAGTATCGGCCCTTGTCAGTCCTTGCATGGGAGACCACCTTGGAAGTCCAGGGTTGCTACGCAGAGGCAGGCAATGGACAACCACCTCTGAACATCCCTTGCCCTAACCTGAATGGCCCAGGCTAGCCCGATCTCATCAGATCTCGGAAGCTAAGCAGGGTCAGCCCTTGTCAGTCCTTGCACAGGAGACCACCTCGGAAGTCCAGGGTTCCTACGCAGAGGCAGGCAATGGACAACCACCTCTGAACATCCCTTGCCCTAACCTGAATGGCCCAAGCTAGCCCAATCTCATCAGATCTCGGAAGCTAAGCAGGGTCGGCCCTGGTTAGTCTTTGCATGGGAGACCACCACGGAAGTCCAGGGTTGCTACGCAGAGGCAGGCAATGGCCAACCACCTCTGAACATCCCTTGCCCTGACCTGAATGGCCCGATCTCATCAGATCTTGGAAGCCAAGCAGGGTTGGCCTTGGTCAGTCCTTGGATGGAAGACCACCATGAAAGTCCAGGGTTGCTACGCAGAGGCAGGCCATGGCCAACCACCTCCGAAAATCCCTGAAAACCCTACAGAGTCACCATGTGTCAGCTGCGACTTGACGACCAAAAAAAAATCTAATTTTAACCGCAGATGGTCTATAGCTTTAAACGTTATTACAGCTGCCGTTTTTTTTCCAGATTTAGTATTAGTTTCTTATCTCATTCCTGCAGAGCAGCTTGGGAGCTGATGGTTATCAGGAGGTGGTACATACGTAAATTTAATTAAATTCCAATTTAAAAATGTACAGAGAAGCACATGCTTGCTTTCTGGTTTGAACGAACAAAGAGAAGCCAGAGGGTCTCATCTTTATTACCTTATTACTATTGACAGCTGGTACATGCAGTACAAGATGAGTCAAAGAAGGATAGTCTTGCAGTTTCAGAGTCACAGTCTAAAAAACACAAGATGTAACGCTGGAAATATTTATCTGAACTGAGAAGTGTTTCTGAACCTTTAAAAAAGTAGACATCACTAAATGAGGATTATATTGGAGTCCTTACATTGCCAAAACCGATTCCTTTAAATCAACCACAACAAAAGAGGATATTTTCCTGCCAGGCTTTAAAGCATCGAATGAATATTTAAAAATGTCAGATAAGCATTTAGTATTGCGACTATCAAATTATTAACAATTATACCTTAACCGTTGGTAGTAATTCAGCCTTCCAAGATAGGTCGACACCGTGCAGACTGTGAAGGTAAGTAGACAGATATTAAGACAGATATTAATATACTCTTAACAGAAGCAGGCTAGATAAGAGGCTGAACCCTAAGAACATAGGCCTCGAAAACCCCACAGGGGGTCCCCATAAGTTGGCTGTGACTTACAGTTTAAAAACACCCCCCTCCCCCACAAACTACTAAGGCATCACTCATGTACTTTAATATGAAGTAATATTAACACTGGCTCACCACATAGGCGAGGAACCGTCCGTACAGCCGTACACCCAGCTATTTGTGTCCTGTAATAGAAAAAGCGAGGGGGGGGGGTTGTCATATACAGGGAGGCACAGATTATCGATCCCTTTTAAAAGTGTCACCGTCATTTCAGAACTCACAATTCATTTAATCGCTCTTAAAAGAGGTTGCTCAGAAGCAGTGGCAGTAATATTCGCATGGCCACCCGCCATTCAGTCCTGTTCTGTTCGATGCTTGAATTTACAAACCAAACATTCAATATCCGGGACACACCCTAGTCCTAAAGGTATGAACTCCTGGAAATGAAGACACCGGGGACACAGAAACAGGGACAAAATTCATGCATCTCTAGCCCTTCTAGAAAGATGGGTGGGATGACCAAGACAGGATCGTTAGAATGCAGGGAGGAAGGGCACTCCAGTGCAAGTTACTGACACCCTGGAAGGGCATGCCAACGTAAACAATTCATACTCTGTCCAGGGCAACTAAAAGCAAGTATTTTTTGATACAATGCATAATTCAGAATGAAACATATTGCCATATCTGACATAGAACCATAGAATCATCGAGTTGGAAGGGATCTTCAGGGTCATCCAGTCTAACCCCCTGCACAATGCAGGAAACTCACAAATGCCTCCCCCCTACACCCACTGCGACCAATGCTCCCTCTAAGCTGCCCCTAAGATGTGGAGTCCTGTGAGCAGAAATTCTACTTTGTGAGCTACTGGCATTAAAGTTGTGAGCAGGTGATCTGGCTACAGCATAAATTAGTTTGCTCTGGAGCCCTCCTTCCTGAGCTAACACAAAAACGTGTGAGCTGGAGGCTAAAAAACTGTGAGCTGGCTCACACTGACTCGGCTTAGAGGGAACACTGCCCTTAAGCTGTGGAGTCTTGTGAGCAGAAATTCTACTTTGTGAGCTGCTGGCATTAAAGTTGTGAGCGAGCGATTTGCCTGCTGCATACATTAGTTTGCTCTGGAGCCACATCCTTCCTGAGCTGAGACAAAATTTTGTGTGAGCTGGAGGCTAAAAAGACTGTGAGCTGGCTCACAGTAACTCAGCTTAGAGGGAACACTGCCAGTGACCCCTGCTGTATGCCCAGAAGAGGGCAAACAAACAAAAAAACCCTCCAGGATCCCCGACCAAATTGGCCTGGAGAACAATTGCTTCCTGACCCCAAAGTGGTGATCAGCATTTCCCTGGGTGTGTAAGAAAGGGCCACGAGAAAATTCTATTGAGATATATGTCAGAGTGATAGAGGTAGCAAGCATACTATAGATCAGTTTGATCTGTTTGTCAGACCTAGCTGTTATGCTAGTAATCATGTAATTACAGCCAGGTGTTTTCTAGCAGGTGTTGCTCTTTCAGGGCTTGTTAGTGATTGCCTCACCCTGTTAGAGATTGGCTGGGGTTTAGCATAATAGCTATCATCTTAGTAAGCTGGATGGGCACTTAGTTCTCATAGACCAAGGCACGACATGCTGTTCAATAGCCTGTAAATATCTCTGTATACATTCACCTTTATAACTATATAAACTCTCTGTGCACCTTCATAACTGGTCAGTCTCCCACTTCTTATTTACAACACCCAATAAATTCAACCCCCCCGGGGGATCGGTATTCTTCCCATCTCGTGCTGCAACACACAAAGTTCACTGCTTAATTTGAGGCTTCCTCCCCCCCCCCAGCTCTTCCCCAAGCTGCTGGAAGCTCTCTAGGATAACAGCTCCAAAACTGTACAGAGAATGAAGCGTGATGCTACAGCCGGGGAGGACTAGGAGACTCACCACAGAGATGTTGAACACAACACGTAGGCTGAACAACAGATGGCCATTTCATAAAAATATCAGACATCCCCATGTGGAATATCAATGGCTGGTAACTAAAATTAAATCTCCATAATCAGAAGCGGTATAGCTAGCTGCCTGACACTATGCAGAAGCAACACTGGATAGCTGGGTTGGATCCAGCAAAAGAAGTGGAACGGAAGACACTTGCCAATGAAGATCTTCCCTGACTCTCCCAACAACTGTACAAGACCTTCGAAAAGCTGATGCTGTGGGTCACTGGACCCACAAGGAACACAGTCTCACGGCCTGGGCCGGCAAGAGAAGCACTACTGGCCAAAGACGATTTTGTCCAAGTTCCCCATCCTCACTGCAGACGTCACAGCTTTTGGGCCATGCGAGTCATGTGACCTCCCCAGCATTTCAGAGGTCTCAAGGCATTGCTGAGGAAGAAGAGGAGGAAAGATTTGTTCCTGCAAATGCTTTCTCACTTTGCTGGATCTAACCCACTTCCTTCTCTGTGTGTGCTTCCCAGAAGTATCTGGTTGGTTACTATTGAAGAGAGAGTGCAGAAGATGAACCTACGGTCTGATCACTTATTTAAAATCTGGCTTTCTTTCTCGCCCCACCACGATCACACAAGGGACAAAATGGGTAGCCGTGTTAGTCTGCATGTAGCAGCAGAAAAGAGCCAAGAGTCCAGGAGCACCTCAAAGACTAACAAAATTTGTGGCAGGGAAGGAGGTTCTGTGAGTCACGGCTCACTTCTTCAGACAAATCAAGATGGATTGTCGTGTTAAGTCTGTCTGCAGCAGTAGAAAAGAGAGTCCAGGAGCACCTTAAAGACTAACAAATTTGTGGCAGGGGAGGCGTTTTCGGGAGTCACTGCTCACTTCTTCAGATACCTGCTGAAGAAGGATCTGAAGAAGTGAGCAGTGACTTCCAAAAACTGACACCCCGCCACAGATTTTGTTAGTCTTTAAGGTGCTCCTGGACTCAGTAAATGAAAAAAAATTAACAAAAATAGATGTCATATGTTAAGTGCTCATTACAAACAATCATTTTGCATTCCTGAAAATAAAATTGTTTTATACTGTACTGTAAGCTGGAGGCAAGCGTAACTTATTTTTGTAATAAAGTTTTTATTTTATTTTTAATGCGTCATTAATACAAATGTGTCTTAGTGCAGAAATCTTCTGGTTTAAAAACTCGTGCGCACACATGTCAGTACGTTTACTTGTATTTACATTTTTCAGAATAGTGGTTTCCGGTAGTCTGTCTCTCTCACATTAACTGAATTTTTGTTATCTTAATAAACCATTTTTTTAAAAGGTGCTACCGGACTCTTGCTCTTTTCTACTAAACAAGAGAACAGTGACTGTTATTTTCTGTTATATTCGGAAGCTCGCCAGGACAACAACTGAGAAACTTTGGGTGACAGAAAATACAACCCGACCCGGAATATCAAATGATGAAACGTTTTAAACCATTATTCTCTCAGGAGAAAAGAACATCAGTGTTGAAAAGCCAAGCAGCCCCAGGTAAGTTTGTCAGGAAATAGTGCATTTTCTCACCAACATACTGTTTTGACAGTGAACGTGACTGTAGGATTTTCTGTGATTTGAGAGGGGGAAGGTAAAATATTTTCCATCAGATTCCTGTTCAGGATGAGACAAAACATGCTGATCAGAAAGAGCAAGGAAATCAGAGAACTCACTGCTTTTTTAAAACATGAAAATCAATTCAATGTTACTTACGTTGTGTGCTGTATAAGACCATTTTGAAGTTTCTATCAGGATCCATATTAAGGCTCCTGAAAGAAAAGGGAAGAACTCCTTAGGCATCAAAGAAATAAAGCAGTTTCACCCTTCTTCACTCTTTCTCACATTTTTGTTCGGTACTTTAAAAAAAAGGGACATCATGCTACGCTGTTTGTTGTTGTTCAGTTGCACAGTCGAGTCTGACTCCTCGCGACCCCATGGACCACATCACGCCAGGCCCTCCTGTCTTCCGCCGTCCTCCAGAGTTTGCTCAATTGCATGTTCATTGCCTCGATGACACTGTCTAACCATCTCATCCTCTGTCGTCCCCTTCTTCTGTTACCTTCAATCTTTCCCAGCCTCAGGGTCTTCTCCAGTGAGTGCTCCCTTCTCATTGGGTGGTCAAAGTCTTTGAGCTTCAGCTTCAGTATCTGGCCTTCCAGGGAACAGTCAGGGTTGATTTCTTTTAGGATTGACTGATTCAATCTCTGAGCAGTCCAAGGGACATCACACTATGCTACCAAATCCTGTTCTATAAACTACTGCACGCAGCAGTGCTGCCTTAGGGAGCGGTGACGCAGGGGATTTTTCCCTGCTTAACAATAATATCTGAACTGCCAAGCTTTGGCAGTTCTAGCCCCATGCTGGTGTGAGCAACCAAGCCTTGTCCTAGCTCATCGTCTACCCAGCGATTCGAAAGCTTCGGTGAGTAGATAAATTGGGGACCACCCGTAAGGGGGTGGGGCACACCCCTCCCTCCCTTCGGGAAGGTGTTAGCTGCCGAGGCAACTTCTGAGGCGTGGCGACTGGAAAGACGAAAGAGCTGTGTCGGCTTCCCTGCAGTGAAGCGAGTCGGCCAGGCAGTGGCAGTGTGTGGCTGCACAACATCAAGAAGCCAGACGTCATCAGCCAGCCGGCAAGATGCCCTAGGAACACGACCTTGATAGCCCGCAGATGAAGCCTGGCTAGCTGCAATGTGTGTGTAGTTAATGCTGTATGTTTGTCTTCCCTATCCCCACAAATATTGTTAGTCCAACTGTCTCAAGAGTAACTGTAAATCGCTCTGAGCCCGCAGGTATGTGGGAAAGAGCGATCAATAAATCGAAAGCATCATCATCATCATCATCATCATCATCATTATTATTATAACATTTATTCTAATTTCTATCACTTGAAGTTAAGAAAAAATAGAAGCTGACACCAGAAAAACAATTTTATGGTCAAGTATGTTTGCATATTAAGTTAGATTCAGGTCCGGTAGCCGTGTTGGTCTGAAGCAGCAGAACAAAGTTTGAGTCCAGTGGGCACCTTGAAGAACATCAAAGTTTAATTCTGGGTATAAGGTTTCTTCTGCATGCGTACAAAAGTTTATACCTTGAGTAAAACTTTGTTGGTCTTCAAGGTACCACTGGACTCAAACTTTGTTCTGGAAATTGTGTCAACATTGAAACCACTGAACTCTCCAGTATTATCATATTTATTGTGGATGAGTTAAACTAATAAAACAAATAAAATTAGTTATATTTAAGGATTAAATATATCCTTTGAAGTATCTGTATATGTCTACAAGTACACACAAGTGTAGTCTTTGCACTACACATTCCGAACAAGTAAAACTTTGTCTCAAAAAGCGTTTCTCTCATTTGGTTAGAAAAAGTCCAAAGGCAAAAAGACACAAAACAAACCATTTCCCTCGAGATGTCTCTATTTTTTTTGCCCCCAGGCATTCATATCTCTACTTTACAGAAACCATTCTCCAATTTCCAGTCTGAAATTTCCACTAAGGAAGGCCGAGCGCCGAAGAATAGATTCTTCTGAACTATGGTGCTGGAGAAGACTCTTGAGAGTCCCTTGGACTGCAAGGAGATCAAATCAGTCAATCCTAAAATGAGTGCACAATTGCACTCATATCACACGCTAGCAAGGTCATGCTCAAGATCCTACAAGCTAGGCTTCAACAGTACGTGGATAGAGAACTACCAGAAGTACAAGCTGGGTTCCGAAGAGGTAGAGGAACTAGAGATCAAATTGCCAACATTCGCTGGATTATGGAGAAAGCAAGAGAGTACCAGAAAAAGATCTACTTCTGCTTCATTGACTATGCCAAAGCCTTTGACTGTGTGGATCACAACAAACTATGGCAGGTCCTTAAAGAGATGGGAGTACCAGACCACCTCACTTGTCTCTTGAGAAACCTGTATAAGGGCCAAGAAGCGACAGTTAGAACCGGATATGGAACAACTGATTGGTTCAGCATAGGAAAAGGAGTACGACAAGGATGTATATTGTCACCTTGCTTATTTAATATATATGCAGAGTACATCATGCGAAATGCTGGCCTGGATGAATTACAAGCGGGAATTAAGATTGCTGGGGAAAAGATCAACAACCTCAGATATGCAGACGATACCACTCTAATGGCAGAAAGTGAAGAGGACCTAAGGAGCCTCTTGCTCAGAATAAAAGAGGAGAGCGCAAAAGTGGGCTTGAAGCTCAACATCAAAAAAACTAAGATCATGGCATCCGGCCCCATCACTCCTTGGCAAATAGAAGGGGAAGCTGTGGAAGTAGTGACAGACTTCACGTTCCTGGGATCCCAGATCACCGCAGACTGTGACTGCAGCCATGAAATTAAAAGACGCCTGCTCCTTGGGAGGAAAGCGATGGCGAACCTAAACAGCATGATAAAAAGTAGAGACATCACCCTGCCAACAAAAGTCCGCATGGTCAAAGCAATGGTATTCCCAGTAGTCATGTATGGCTGCGAGAGCTGGACTATAAGGAAGGCCGAGCGCCGAAGAATAGATTCTTTTGAACTATGGTGCTGGAGAAGACTCTTGAGAGTCCCTTGGACTGCAAGAAGAAAACAACAACAAAAAGAAATCAACCCTGACTGTTCCCTGGAAGGCCAGATAATGAAACTGAAACTCAAAGACTTTGGCCACCCAATGGGAAGGGAGCACTCCCTGGAGGAGAAGACCCTGATGCTGGGAAAGATTGAAGGTCAAAGAAGACGGGGACGGCAAAGGCTGCCCCTGCTTATAACAAAATTGCCTGGACTGAGAGATTTTGCCCTTGTAACAGTGGTGAGATAAGAGGTTTATAAGATTATATAAGATAAGAGGTTTATAAGGTGAGGTTTATAAGATTATATGGGAAAGAGCAGGTAGAGAAAGAGGTACTTTTCTCCCTTTCTCACAATACAAGAACTCGTGGGCACTCAATGAAATTGCTGAGCGGTCGGGTTAGGACGGATAAAAGGAAGTACTTCTTCACCCAAAGAGTGATTAACACTTGGAATTCACTGCAACAAGAAGTGGTGACGGCTACAAGCATGGATGGCTTCAAAAGGGGATTAGATATGCATATGGAGCAGAGGTCCATCAGTAGCTCTTAGCCACAAGGTACAGATAGGGACTCTGGGATTTCGTGTTTTTTTTGGTGCTTGGGGGGGGGGGGTCAACAGTGGGAGGGCTTCTAATGTCCTGGCCCCACTGGTGGACCTCCTGATGGCACCTGGTATTTCTGGCCACTGTGTGACACAGAGTGTTGACTGGATGGGCCTTTGGCCTGATCCAACATTGGCATCTCTTATGTTCTTATCAGTCAATGGCACATGCCCTTCTTCATTGTTCTTTCTACAATGAAATCCGTACTGCCCTTATCTCCCTGTTACTTGAGCTCTGTCCTGACACCTCCGACTCTGGGATCATTAACATACTTCTCTCAGATGTGAGTATAGAGATCACCCGGAAAGTTGCTAAATTCTATTCCCAAGCGATTAAATTGTGCTCTATGGATATTTCCCAACAATGTGGAAGATAGGAGCTGATCAGTGTTCCCTCTAAGCTGAGTTAGTGTGAGCCAGCTCACAGTTTTTTAGCCTCCAGCTCACACATTTTTGTTCTAGCCCAGGAAGGATGGCTCCAGTGTAAACTAATTTATGCAGTAGCCAAATTTTTGCTCACAAGACTCCACAACTTAGAGGGAGCATTGTAGCTGATTGTATTCTATATCTATATTTTTATCTAGTTAGGTTAGAAATTGCTGTATTGGTATTAGTTTTAATTACTTTTATACACTTTTATATTTGTATACCTTAATTTTTACATTTTACCAGGCCATGGTCATTCTTCTTCTTACTAATTTGTATTCTGGTCATGGACCGTAAATAAAGTAAAGTATAGTAGACCCTGGCTGACCCTGCTTAGCTTCTGAGATCAGGTCAGGCCGTCCTGCTTGTACACTCTCCAAAATCCAGTCATTATTTCGCCATCACACTTGGCTTTATCTCCGACTGTTTTCTGTTTTGTTCCCGGCATTCCACTTGCAGCCAAGTTCACATCATACCTCCCATCACAAGACTTGTTTCAGTTTGCACACTATATTAGGCCCAATTCTTCCACAGGGAGTATGAACCTTGGTCTCAGTGGCATTCGCAACACACAGAGAAATACTAACCTGCTAGTTCAGCAAACGGTTCGGGCTTTTCTTCGAAGAATTTTGCTGGGTGCTTCAGGAAGTGATGTTCCAGGACTAGCATTCTCTTTTGAGGATCTTGAGTTATCTAAGAAGTAGCACACACTTGTAAGAACCTCAGCAAACTTTGGGTGACTGTAAGAACAATTCCACTGAGAAAAATGCCTAAAAAACCCATATTCTGTCTCAGGAGTGGCAAGGTATAGATGGAACATTATGTCTGGGGCAGGGATGCTCTGTATTCTTGGTGTTTGGGGGGCAACAGTGGGAGGGCATTTGGGGTTCTGGCTCTGCTGGTGGACCTCCTGATGGCACCTGATATTTTTGGCCACTGTGTGACACAGAGTGTTGGCCTGAATGGGCCATTGGCCTGATCCAACATGGCTTCTCTTATGTTCTTATGTCTGGAGCAGTGATACTCTGACTTCTTGGTGCTTGGGGGGCAACAGTGGGAGGGGGGCTTCTGGAGTTCTGGCCCCTCGGGTGGACCTCCTGATGGCCCCTGGGTTTTGGCCACTGTGTGGCGCAGACTGTTGGACTGGATGGGCCACTGGCCTGATCCAACATGGCTTCTCTTAGGTTCTTAAGTTAACACCCTTCACTGTTTTCAGCAATTCAAGATTATTTAAATCTTAGCTGTCCCCCCCACCCCCCCCCCCCTCGCGCAAAGAAGAAGAGAGGAGGAGGAGGAGATTGGATTTATACCCCACCCTTCACTTGGAGTCTCAGAGCGGCTTACAAACTCCTTTCCCCTCCCCTCCCCACAACAGACACCCTGACACAAACTGCTCTTTTTCAAGAACAGATGTGCCAGAACTACAGCTTGCCCAAGGTCATCCAGCAGCTGCAAGTGGAGGAGTGGGGAATCAAGCCCATTTCTCCCAGATTAGAGTCCGCGCACTTAACCACGACACCAAACTGGCAAAAGAAATTACAAACCTGCTTAGTGTTTTCATCAATCAGGTCGAAAAAGGCTCTGACGGTAGCCAAGATCAACTCTTTACACCTATTTGAGAAGCGCAAGGGGGGGAATCCTTTAGAAAAATGTAACAAATCAGTAAAAACCCAAAACACTAGAAGGAAAGTAGAAGAATGGCGGGCCAGTTGTTGTGTGTCCCCGCCCCCCACAACTGGATGAGGATGCTTACCAAACTATGGAAAGGTGGTCCGTTGAAGCCCAGACTCGAGGAACTTCTGAGCTCTGTTTAAGAAAGAATAATTATGCTTTTTTCATATATATATTTTTTTAATCCATTGCTACTAGAAACACAAGCCGGAGGGAAATATGCGGCTAAAATCCAATGCACAGGCTGCTTAAAATTTCAGTAGCGGAGATTTATTTTATTTACTTTATTTATATCCCAACTTCTTCCCCAGTGGGGACCCAAAGAGGCTTACATTGTTCTTCTCTCCTCCGTTTCATCCTCACAACACCCCTGCGAGGTAGGCTAAGCTGAGAGAGTGTGACTGGACCAAAGTCACCCAGCAAGATCCCACCGCAAAGTGTGGATTCAAACCCGGGTTTCCCAAGTCCCAGTCCACACTGGCTCTCACTGCAGGACGACAATACGTTCTGTTTTTGGAAATGTTCCGATTAAAAAATGGTTTTGACAGGTGGCATGGTAAGTTGCTGTTTAAGAAGTTTGTGGGGACGTTTGTGCAACAGCGTTGGAGTCCTTTGGATCTCAGGTATTAGGATTTCTCAATTCCTGCTTGATTATTTGGCCTCAGAATCCAAACCTAGGAAGGTCTGCAAGAAACATGGGGGGGGGGGGGGCGACCAGCATGCACAGAGTTTTTCGGAAAACCGATTGGATCCAAAAATAAAATAAGAAGTTCCTCTTCAAAAGTAAATCTGTTTAGCCCTAGATTAAGTGGAAAATTCGTTTTCATCCAAGGATCATACAGGCAAAGACTGCACAAAGTTAGGCTTCCGGTGACTTAACGAGCCATATATCACAGCCTTGATGGGTGATTTTACATAATATACACTTTGGGGAAAGAGGATCTTTGAGAGAAATATTCATAAATAGTCAAAAGGAAGACACATTATGCATCTAATCCATAGAGATTCCGGGGTCCCCTTTAAACAACTGGTAAAGAAAGTCACCAGCTTCCAATGGCAGTGAGATTTCACAACTGACAGTTTATTGTTAACAATAAGCTTATTATTAACCTGCCCACAAGACAGAAGACCAGTCTGGAATAGGTTTCAGATTAAATTATGGATGCCATCTGGAGATTAAAATCTGCAGATCAGTTTTTCCTAATTTGATCATCTGTATTTTTTGTATGTTTATAACCTGCTGTAAGTCACCCAGAGCTCTGTGTACTCATAAGTACATAAGAGAAGCCAATGTTGGATCAGGCCAATGGCCCATCCAGTCCAACACTCTGTGTCACACAGTGGCCAAAAATACCAGGTGCCCTCAGGAGGTCCAGCAGTGGGGCCAGGACACTAGGAGCCCTCCCACTGTTGCCCCCCCCAAGCACCAAGAAGACAGAGCATCACTTGCCCCAAACTGAGAGTTCCTATCTATACCTTGTGGTTAATAGCCACTGATGGACCTCTGCTCCATATGCTTATCTAATTCCCTCTTGAAGCCGTTCATGCTTGTAGCCCCCGCCACCTCCTGTGGCAGTGAATTCCATGTGTTAATCACTCTTTGGGTGAAGAAGGACTTCCTTTTATCTGTTCTAACCTAACTATTCAGCAATTTCATTGAGTGCTCACGAGTTCTTGTATTGTGAGAATACCTGCTCTATCCCACGGATAATCTTGTAAACCTCGATCATTTCACCCCTCAGCCGTCGTTTCTCCAAGCTAAAGAGCCCCAAGCGCTTTAACCTTTCTTCATAGGGAAAGTGTTCCAAGCCTTTTGTCATTCTAGATGCCCTTTTCTGCACTTTTTCCAATGCTATAATATCCTTTTTGAGGTGTGGTGACCAGAACTGTACACAGTACTCCAAATGAGGTTGCATCATTGATTTATACAGGGGCATTATGATACTCGGGAGATTCAGAAATTCAATAAAATATTAATCATCATCATCAGTAATCATCAGCATACCAAGTTGTACAAGAGTTCTATGGGCCACACATGGCACAAAGATGCCCATCCCCAGAACTTGTACATAATTCCAGAAATAACTTTTGAAAACAGTTATTTACCACAACAGACAAGGCACTGTCTTGTCGGCTTGATCTGGGCAACAAAGCCAGTCCTGAACGGACTTGATAATCTCGAAATCCTCCCGCCACGGAGAGCGTGGTTAGATTCGCTCTGTCCTGAGCCTTGAGATTCCAGTGATGGTTCACAGCTGTGTAAAAATCTTTAAAATAATTTCATATCAGAGGTTAGTTTAGCACATTTCTAAAGACAGAGAGAGAGTCAGGAAACATCTGCCATTTTTATTTCTATGCTCTTGTGAACTAACAAAACACAGAGGCAAAGGACATGAGCTGTCAACTGGGAGATGAATCTCAGTATGCCACAAAATTACTAGAGGAATTTAGACAAGTCATTTGCTTTCACTCTCTATTTGCATTTTGAGGATTTGTTTATTGGCCCCCTTTTTTGTTCCCAAGCAGTTTACAACATCGTTCTGTCAGTTCTACCTAACCACCACCCTGTGAGACAGGTTAGGCTGAGAGAAGAGTGACTAGAAACTTCCATGGCAAAATAGGGATTCAAACCCAGGTCCTTATCTGATGCTCTAATTGCTACAACAAACACATGGGAAACACGACAAGGTTGAGTAAACGTGGAAAAGCACCGTGTTAAAACAAAACACACAATTCTGATATGCTACTATGCCTTCATATATTTGTTAAAATCATATACTTAAATATACGATAAAGACCCTTGTGTATCTTATTATAGTACATCGATAACAAAAACCTAAAGAACAATATATCTCTTGTAGAAATGTCCACAGCTACAGAGATGAATATGCAGACAGGATTCAATGCTGTAGACTATCTTGCTTTCTGATGATGCAGCAGTCGTCAATGCCAATACTGCAGGCTGTTTTGCTTTCTGAAAAGAGATTCAGCAAGCATCAAAGCAACACACCTCCCAGGCAAAAGTAGCATGTTGTTTGACTTGTGCATCGTAGCCCTGTGAGTTTCGGATGAGTGCAGCAAGCGAGCTCTTTCCCCCCCTGGTTTCTATGTGAAGTATATTGTGTTATATTGTATTTGTAATTCGGTTCCAGGAAAAATAATTTGCCTGAAGAAAAAGTTCTCGAAACACACAACTTTTGCCTGGGAGGCGTGTTGCTTCGATGCTTGCTTCGATGCTCTTTTTCGAAAGCGAAACAGCCTACAGTATTGGCATTGACAACTGCTGCATCATCAGAAAGCAAGATAGTCTACAGCATGAATAATAATTTTGGCCAACTCAGCAGGCCTGCTGTAAGGATTACAAGTCAGGGTGTGTCCAGCAAGCCATGAGAGGAGTTTTGATCATGGACTGGAATCTTTTGGCCTTTTCGCTGTACCCCCCTGAAACCAGCCCATCTGGTTCAGGGATATCCCCAAGAGCTGAGAAACTTCTGTAGGCAGAAAGGGAATTGGCAAAATTGTGCCCCCACCCAGGGTGCCAGGTCCCCCACTGGCCAGGGGGGTAGGGTTGCCAGATCCAGGCTGGAGAACTCCTGGAGATTTGGGGGTGGAGCCTGGGGAGGACAGGAGTAGTAGTAGTATCTGGTTTTTATACCCCACTCTTCACTGCATGAAGGAGACTCAGAGCGGCTTACAATGGCCTTCCCTTCCTCTCCCCACAACAGACACCCTGTGAGGTTGGTGGGACTGAGAGAGCTCTGAGAGGGCTGTGACTGACCCAAGGTAGAAGAAGAAGAGAAGAAGAGATTGGATTTATACCCCGGCCTTCACTACCCAGAGGTGTCTCAGAGCGGTTTACAAACTCCTCTCCCTTCCCCTCCCCACAACAGACACCCTGTGAGGTAGGTGGGGCTGAGAGAACTCTGACAGAACCTGCTCTTTTTCAAGGACAGCTGTGCCAGAGCTTGTGACTGACCCAAGGTCACATCAGCAGGTGCAAGTGGAGGAGTGGGGAATCAAACCCGGTTCTCCCAGATTAGAGTCCGCACACTTAACCACAACACCCAGCTGGCTTCATGTGCAGGAGTAGGGAAATCAAACCCGGTTCTCCGGATTAGAGTCTGCCACTCTTCTTAACCACAGGGACCTCAGTGGGGTACAAGGCCACGGAGTCGACTCTCCAAAGCATCCCTTTTCTTCAGAAGAACTGATCTCTGTAGTCTGGAGATGAGCTGTAATTCTGGGGGGTCCCCAGGCCTCACACAGCACTGGCATCCCTAGCCCCCCACCAGCAGAAGGGCACCTCTGCCTCCAGCACGACCTATACAATGTAATGTCAATGACAGTAATAGACCTTTCTACCCCACAGGGCAGGCCAGCATCATAAATAAATGGTTGGGACCAGACCAACGTTTTTGTGAATACAAGGGCTTCAGCCCACAGAGTACAATTTTTCTTTCTCCCCCAGTTTGGTGCAGTGATTAGGAGCATGGACTCTAATCTGAGAGAACCAGGTTTGATTCCCCACTCCTCCATATGCAACTGCTGGTGTGACCTTGGGTCAGTCACAACTTCTCTCAGAGCTGTTGTCTCAAGAGCAGTCCTCTTTCACTGAGTGCCCACGAGTCCTCGAAAGAGCTCTCTCAGCCCCACCTACCTGTCTGTTGTGGGGAGAGGGCAGGAAAGAGACCGTAAACCACTATGAGACTCCTTCGGTAGTGAAGGGATAAATCCAATCTCCTCCTCTTCTACTGTGGCAGCTCTAAATGACCCCCGAAATCCTGTTCCTGGGGGTCACCTTCAGAGGACATTTTGGGCTGCCACAGGAGGTGGGAAAACGGCACTCCACATCCCAAAGTCCCTGCCTGGATCCAAGCCTATTGCTGGAAGTTTTATGTATTTCTTTAAAACAACTATTAGTCATCTTTCTTCCGAAGAAGGAGAAGGAGATTGGATTTATACCCTGCCCTTCACTCAGAGTCTCAGAGTGGCTTACAAACTCCTTTCCCTTCCCCTCCCCACAACAGAGAACTCAGGGTGGCTTTCATGATAAATAAAACACGTTAGCGGTCTTGCATAAAAATATGTAAAACCAAATTTTTTTAAAATCACAGTTTAGGATTGTTTTAATCAAATGAGGTCCTACATGAAGCATTTGTCAAGGACTGTTTAAAAAAACAACCACCTACAAGTAATTTTATTACACTTTGATATTCCGGTGACATTCAGAAACGTCCTTCTGGTGTCCCAGTTCTTCCGTCAAAACAAAGGCAGAGCAGCAAGGGGCTTAAGAGTACCCACGTTCTTGAACACGGCCCAAGGAAACAGCCCCATTAATGATTTCCACAGCATACTACCTGCTTTAAGACTGACAGTTTGAGGTACTCCTAAACTACGGAATCCTGGGGCCCACAATCTGTCTGGTTTCTGGCTAGATTTTAAAAAAATATTTTTTATGCCACCTTTCCACCCAGTCAGGGTCCCCAAGGCAGCGCACATGAAAAATGTTAAAAGGTTTGAACAGGGGATCCTAGAGGATTCCTCCCCCCACCCCTTTCTGGGCAGAGAACAGGGGTCACTGGGGGTGGGGGGTATTTGTGAATTTCCTGCATTGCGCAGGGGGTTGGACTAGATGACCTTGGATGACCCTTCCAACACTATGACCCTACGATTAACTAAAAACATTAAAAATGATAAAATAATTCAACTAAAACACCTGGACGGGAAGGAGGGCCAATAACTGTTATCAGGGGTAGGCCAAACAAAACAAAACAAAAGTCTTCACTTGCTGGCAGAAGACACCGATAGGGGGAGACACACAAATCGCCCTGGGGAGGGAGTTCCAACGTTTCGGTGCCACCACCAAGAAAGCCCTTTCTCAGGTTCCTGCCCATGTAGCCACAGATGGTGGGGGCAACCAAAGCAGGGCTTCCAGAGATGACCAGAAGTATATACATTTGTCACGAAGCTCATTTTTGATGGCTTCTGGCACAGTGCCCCACCCTAATGTAAAAACATGGCACGTAAACACCATTTCCTAAAATGAAATTAGCACCAAAACGGCTTAAATCCCCCACCACAGTTTAATAAAAACACTTTTTAAAAACAAACTCAGTCTAATAATCTGGCAGTGACTTCTTTTCTCCTTGCAGATTAAGATCTCGCAGGCGTTAATTCACACCTTAAAATATGGTCAAGGCTCTTCGCCGGCCGCTGTCCTAGAAAAATGTCCAGCGACAGGTACAGAAATAACCTGCCACCTCTTAAGAAGGTGAAGTTCCAGAAGCAGCTAATACCACCCCCCACGTGGCTACGTGGGCTGAGCCACCTTCCTAAGCCATTCCGGACACAACGCAGGAGTCTACATTTTATCCTACAGAGCACTGAAAAGATTGGCCCCTGCCTAGCTTAACCACATGCCTTGGTCTCCTCAGCCTGGGAACCAAACAATTATGAGTGTCCTCTGAACGAAACCACATTTTCTCTGTGTTCAAAAAACACCAGGGTCATCTAGCCCAACCCTTGCCCAACACAGGAACTCCAACTATAATATCCACAACAAGAGGGTATCCAATCAATGCTTAAAAACTTCCAACGAAGGAGGAGGAGGAGGAGGAGGAGGAGATTGGATTTATACCCCGCTCTTCACTCGCAGTCTTAGAGCGGCTTACAAACTCCTTTCCCTCCCCCTCCCCACAACAGACACCCTGTGAGGTCGGTGGGGCTGAGAGAGCTCTGAAAGAACTGCCCTTTCAAGGACAGCTCTTGTCAGAACTACGGCTTGCCCAAGGTAATCCAGCAGCTGCAAGTGGAGGATGGGGAATCAAACCCGGTTCTCCCAGAGGGTAGGAGGAGGAGGAGGAAGAAGAAGAGGAGGAGAAGAAGAAGAGGAGATTGGATTTACACCCCACCCTTCACTACCTGAGGGAGTCTCAGAGCAGCTTACAAACTCCTTTCCCTTCCCCTCCCCACAACAGACACCCTGTGAGGTAGGCGGGGCTGAGAGAGCTGTGACAAAAACTGCCCTTTCAAGGACAGCTCTTGTCAGAACTATGGCTTGCCCAAAGTAATCCAGCAGCTGAAAGTGGAGGAGTGGGGAATCAAACCTGGTTCTCCCAGATTAGAGTCCGCGCACTTCACCGCTACACCAAATATTCCAACACTTAATATTTTCCAGGGGAAGCGTCAAAAGGTACTGCTTGAATTGTCACTGAAATGTATTTAAAGAGCTAATTCAGGAATTATTTTAATTAACTGGTACCCTTTTTTGACACATGTTTATGAGTTCTTAGGATAGGGATAGAAATTCAAGGTCCCATTTCCGTAGTGATCCATTTCTAAGCCCAGAAAATCCTGCAAAAGTTTAGCCAAACTCAACAGTATATACATTTTTCAAAATAACTTTGTTCAAAATGAAAAGAGCCGCCCCCAAGAGAAAACTTACCAGTCAGATATTGGTCTAAAGGCATCACAGGTGCGATATGAGGCGTGGCTTGAGTAACAAGGACATTGATGAGCTCCGCCTTGAAGTTTTTAAGAGTCAGAAGTGCTCGGGCAACCAGACCGCCCATGGAGTGGCCCACAATGGCAACACTGGACGGCGCAGAGCCTTGGCCCTTCAAGGAAAAGGACGGCAAGAATATTATATGCAAAATATTGGAAACAAATGGAAGCACCAAAGAAGCAAGAATATGTGAATAAATTGTTGGTGACGGCTGAAAATGATAAACTGTCATAGTTGATGAGAGGGACAACAGACCCAACATTTCAAAAGACGTGGAAAAAACTGTATGATTGGTACAATATAAATACATAGTTTAAAGTAATGAAATTTTTGGTACTATTAATCTCTTTTAGTTAAATAGAAACTATGATAAAAAGATAAGAGTATACAGAAACTTAAGCAAATTTATAGAAACTCTTTAAATATGGTAATAGAGTTATAAGAAAATATACTGATCTCGTTGTATGTTTTATGTGTGTAAGTGGATGTTTGTTATGTTGTATGTTGGTTTGTTGGTGTATAATATGGAAAATAATAAAAGTGCACCTAATGGGTACTTAAAAAAAAGAGGAAAAGGACATGACATCACGCGGAGAAAATGGATGGAACCGCACAGTCTCTCCTATGTTGCAGTCTGATGCACGTTCTTTTCTGACCAGAAGAACGTTCTTGCAGTCAGAAAGACCAAGGCTGCCTCTTTCAGGAGAGTTGCTTAAAAAGTCATACAGAAATCAACCAGATTGATCTTATTTATTTATTTATTTCCAGGTCAGGTGACCTTTTGGAGAAAAAGGGGTAAACAAATCCCTGGGACTGACATACCTTAAGGACCGCCTTCTCCCATCTCATAGAATCACAGAATCCTAGAGTTGGAAGGGAACTCCAGGGTCATCTAGGCCAACCCCCTGCACAAGGCAGAAGATTCACAAATACCTCCCCCCTCCACACACACCCAGTGACCCCCACTCCACGCCCAGAAGATGACTAACCTACCTGCCCAGTGCCCACTCTAGTCACCTCCAGAGGCCCTGCTTCGGTTGCCCCGCCCTCTGAGCCTAGATGGGTGGCAATCTGAGAAAGGGCCTTCTCTGTTGTGGCACCAAAACGCTGGAACTCCTTCCCTCGGGAGAGTCCTCCGTCTCCCTCTGTTGGTGTCTTCTGTCAGTGGGTGTTTCATTTGGCACGCCCCCCCCCCAACTAACAGTTATTGGCCTGCCTCTAGTACTGTTGGTTATGTGTTTTTATTGAATTGTTTTCTAATTTTAAATACTGTTTTTGGTTGTTCTAATGTTCAGGTGCACCAACTTTGGGCCCCTGATCTGTTGGAAAGGTGGAACATCATGGCTGGGGCAGTGACGCTCTGTATTCTTGGTTTCTGGAGTTCTGGCCCTGCTGGTGGACCTCTGTATTCTTGGCTTCTGGAGTTCTGGCCCTGCTGGTGGACCTCCTGATGGCCCCTGGGTTTTAGCCATTGTGTGACACAGAATGTTGGACTGGATGGGCCATTGGCCTGATCCAACATGGCTTCTCTTATGTTCTCATGTCTGGGGCAGTGACGCTCTGTCTTCTTGGTGCTTGGGGGACCACAGCGGGAGGGCTTCTGGAGTTCTGGCCCTGCTGGTGGACCTCCTGGTGGCCCCTGGGTTTTAGCCATTGTGTGACACAGAGTGTTGGACTGGATGGGCCATTGGTCTGATCCAACATGGCTTCTCTTATGTCTGGGGCAGTGACACTCTGTCTTCTTGGTGCTTGGGGGGCCACAGTGGGAGGGCTTCTGGAGTTCTGGCCCTGCTGGTGGACCTCCTGTGTGACACGGAGTGTTGGACTGGACAGGTCGTTGTCCTGATTCAACGTGACTTCTCTTATGCTCTTATATCTGGGGCAGTGATATTCTGCCTACTTGCTGCTTGGGGGACAGCAGTGGGAGGGCTTCTGGAGTTCTGGCCCTGCAGGTGGATCTCCTGATGGCCCCTGGGTTTTGGCCACTGTGTGACACAGAGTGTGGGACTGGATGGGTCACTGGCCTGACCCAACATGGCTTCTCTTATGTTCCTAAGGTATATGTTTTAAATAAAGTATGAACCACGCCTATCCAAATCAAACATGACAATGGAAGACACAACGTCTCCAGATGTAAAGGTTAGCCTATGTTAGAAATTCTGCGGCAGAAACATGAGACACGAATGTCTGAAGGGGCAAATCCACAAGTTCATGGAAAAGAAGATCTACGCTGTTTAAAAAAAGGTGTACTACAATCATGTCCAGTGTTCCCTCTAAGCTGAGTTAGTGTGAGCCGGCACACAGTTTTTTAGCCTCCAGCTCCCACATTTTCATCTCACCTCAGGAAGGGATGGCTCCAGAGCAAACTAATTTACGCAGCAGCCAAACAGGCTCACTCACAACTTTAACGCCAGGAGCTCACCAAGTAGATTTCTTGCTCACAAAACTCCACAGCTTAGAGGGAACATTGATCATGTCCCCCCCCCAAAGATTTATTTTAAAATGTTAATTATTCTACTGTTAAATGAAAAGCATCAGAAAACGCAGCATTCTTTGCTTTGCACCTCAATCATATGAGAAATAGCTAGAAAACCTAAAATAATTTTTTAAAAGTCCTATCTGTGTTGCCTTTGGTCACAGGATGGTCACACAAGACTCACTGGAAAAAACAATCATGCTAGGAAAAGGAGAAGGCAGCAGGAAGGAGAAAAGTTGGATTTATACCCCGCCTTTCATTCGCAGTCTCAGACTGGCTTACAATCCCCTTCCCTTCCCCACAACAGACACCCTGTGAGGTAGGTGGGGCTGAGAGAGCTCTGACAGAAACTGCTCTTGAGAGAACGGCTCTGAGAGAACTGTGACTGACCCAAGGTCACCCAGCTGGGTTCATGTGAAGGAGTGGGGAATCAAACCCGGTTCTCCCAGATTAGAGTCCGCCACTCTTAAACACTACACTGAACTGGGAAAGAGGAAGATCCAATATGAGAGGGGGTGACTCCATCAAGGAAGCCGGGGCCCTCAGTTTGCAGGACCTGAGCGAGGCTGTGAACGACAAGACATTTTGGAAGTCTTTAATTCGCAAGAGCGCCGTAAGTCTGAAGCAACTGGACGGCACTTAACACACAGAGAGAGAGACACACACACACACATCTATATTGCATTAACTCTTACCTTATACAATTTAAGAATTACTTTGATACACTCGTGCACAAATCTGGTCTGCCTCTGCAGACTTCCCCCATAGAGGGCCACAAGCTCCTCGTTGAAGTTAACGCTGAAGACATCAAAATGGTGCTTGAAATCGAGGTCTTCTGCCTTCCTGAGTGCAATCGACCCAAGAGAACGTACTGACAGGGGAGAAGAAACTAGTTAGTTATTAGGAAGAAGAGGAGGAGGAGAGGAGATTGGATTTATGCCCCGCCCTTCACTTGGAGTCTCAGAGCAGCTTACAAACTCCTTTCCCTTCCCCTCCCCACAACAGACACCCTGTGAGGGAGGTGAGGCTGAGAGAGCTCTTTCGAGAACTGTCCTTGAGAGAACAGCTCTCAGAGAACTATGGCTTGCCCAAGGTCATCCAGCAGCTGCAAGTGGAGGAGTGGGGAATCAAACCCGGTTCTCTCAAATTGGAGTCTGCACACTTAACCACTGCACCAAAGAGCTTCCTAGAAATCTCCAGGAATGCGAGCCACCGCCACCCTGCCCGATTTAGGAAGAAAAATACACAAGAACTTAAAACGGAGGGTATACCAAACTCTGTGTGGTTTGATGTCACCAAACGCCAGGTTGCGGTAATCCGTGTTTAAGATGCACAAATCAATCGTGGCTTGAAAACAAGCGGTGTTGTCGTCGCCAGGCCTCTGGCTGCAGCACTTGGAAAGGACTGGCATATGTCAACAGAATGCTAAATGGTTTGTTAAAAAGCGTTCGCCCGCCATAGAAATCAACGCTCCCCTCACATACTTTCCTGGCCCGTTTCTTCCCGCTCTCCCGTTTTACTTGTAGTGATGCCTGTTCCCATGGAGACTGGGAGAGACAGGGATAGAGGCTCTCGTCAAAGGGGTTACATCTAAAAGGCTTCTGGGCTGATGAGAGGGATAATGGAGGACCGCTCTCCCACATCAGAAGGAAAGAACCTCTTGGAAGAGGAAGGCCACCCTACCCCCCAAGCTGCTTAGGCATCACAAGAGTAAAAAAACCACAGGAAAGAAACACATGCTCCTAGATTATGCTGCTAAAAATTATAAAAAGAGATGCGCTCTTTAAATGTATAGAGAAATGGGGATAAGGCCACAATACAAGGAGTGAAGACTCAGGAGAGCCAGTTTGGTGAAGTGGTTAGGAGCGCGGACTCCAACCTGGGAGAACCGGGTTTGAGACCCTACTCCTCCACTTGCAGCTGCTGGTGTGACCTTGGGTCAGTCACAAGTTCTTTCAGAGCTGATCTCTCAAGGGCAGTTCTCAGTCACAGCTCTCTCGGCCCCACCTACCTCACTGGCTGTCTGTTGTGGGGAGGGCAGGGGAGGGAAAGGAGATTGTAAGCTGCTCTGAGACTCCTTCGGGTAGTGAAGGGTGGGGTATAGAGATGTAAAATTTCCGGAAATTTTGAAGCTCGGGAAAAAACCCGTTTTTCCCCCCTGTTTTTTTTCGGGGGGAAACGGAAATTTTCGGAAACATTGAAAAAAATGCTACATTAGCATTTCGTTTGTCTTTTCTAGATTGAAAGTCATTCTGTTACTTTAGGAACATAAAATATGACTATGGACATTTTTACCTGACATGAAATTATCACAACTAGCATATTAAAAATATAGTGTATCAAAACAATTATTACAAACAGAATACCCACCCACATGCAAAAACAAAACTGAAACCTTTTTATTTTCTTCTGACAATCGCACCTCCTAAAGGAAGAAATGCATCTTGTTCTTGCATTGGAGAGTTCAGTTTGTAACCTAGGACTTGCTTGTCCTCAGTGCACAGAAATTAGATCAATCTGATATATATATATACTAGTAAGGAAAGCCCGTCGTGGCGGTAGACGACGGGCCCTAGATAGGAAGGAAGGGCGAGTGGAAGGGAGGAATGGAGAAGAGGAGGTAGAGAGAGAGAGACAGAGGTAGATAGGGGGGAAAGAGAGAAAAGGGGTGGAGACAGAGTGGGGTTAGTGGTAGTAATTTGGAAAGAAAGGAAGGGAGAAAGGAAGGAAGGAA